CTAATTAATAGCATTATTAACAAGTGCTAAAAGGTTTAAAATAAATATTCAAGCCATTTAAAATTCATTATTTATTGTGATTAGAACAATGTCAACTTTTTAGAAATTATTATTTATAACACTTTACATAACAAGTAGGTTCTTTCTGAGCTTATTTATATGAATTTATTGGGTAAATATTAGGTCTCTGGTGAGAAAGTACTTCCTGTTCTGTAAGTTTGCATATCTCGCATAACCCGTGTAACTAGGCAGGTATTTCTGTAACATGGTAAATAACTATATGCTAAGCCCAACTTAATTTTTCCTTAAGAGATAAACACCAAATAATCATTAAAAAGGTTTAAACCGTAAAACGGCCATATATATACCTCAACTTTATTAAATTTGCAATCTCAATGTAGCAATCACCACATAACGAAGTTATTATGTAAGTCGCTGGCATAAAACTCCTCACACCTCACAATTGCCGAAAAAAATTTTAAATATATGAAAAGCAGAAAGTTGTGCAATAAATAATGAGAGTTATTAATAAGCAATTTCTCTGAATTTAATGATGGCTTACGAGCGGCTTAATTGTGAAGTGTTTTCATTAAAACATTTTTGCTGTGCAAGTATATTTTTTTCCCCTGCAATATGTGGCTTTATCAAAATTTCTAGTACTGCTGTCAACTAACTTACTACCAATGGTAGGGCCATAATATTTTTAGCTTTAGCATGACACAATGACGTGAACCATATTTTAGTTATTGTATAAATCACAGTTTTAAAAAGATTTTTAAAGAAAGGGTTTTCTTGAATGAAAAATGCTCTTGCTCTGCCAGAAGTATTAAAAATATTGCACAAAAGATAGAACTGTTTATAGTAGTATCTTTACCCCAAAAAATCTTTTAATAGTATTTATGAGGGGGAGGTTGTATTGGCAGCCACAAAGACCGAAAAAGGGAGTCGCTTAGGGGCGAGAATAAAATCCACGCCCTTCAGTATGCTCCTCAACGCTTTTAACTGCTGAGCTAAGCGGACAATTTTTAACTCCCATATAATGCGTTAACTTATATAACACCCGTATTAACAATTTAAATAGTACCCAAAATGCCTTTTAATTTATAAATAGGAAGGAAACCAAAGCTCATTCCCATAATGTGTACTGTGTAGTGAAAGAGGTTTTTATTATATAAAACTGTCTTATCAAAATAAGCTCTATTAAGACCTGGTGTTTTTTAAAAGGCTTAGGGTTCACCTTACCTGGTGGTAATTTTAGCGATTTTTCTTCCCCTAGGCCATATGGCGGAAATCTGGGCTTTCCTTTTTAACCTTCACGGTAGCGATGAACCCCCCTTCCCCCGTGAGATATAATAACACTCAAATTAATGACTACGAAGTTTATGATAGGCTTACCAAGCATTTGCAGAAGTTATTTAAAAAGAAAAATGAAACTCTAATAATTTGAAGAGCTTTAATAGAAGGTACTGGTTAGTTATACCCAACTTAACATTGTGAATTTCTTAGATAATTATCCCTTCTTCTTGTCAATATGCTTACTTTAACTTAAAAACATATTGCTAAATTCTCTTGCGAAATAGAAAACCTGTAGCAACGCAGTCACTTGGAACAATACCTTTTGCTTTTAGAGCATAGTAAGTGTAATACCATTGTCTAATATCGTGTGAAATTATGTATTAATCTTTATTTAAATGCCTAAAAATAGCCAAGCACATGAAAAGAAATCTATATTAAAGTTAGGTAGCGGTGCTAACAAATTCTACTTTAGAGTCAGCAATTTTTCAGTGATGTATTCTTAATACATTCTTCTCTTTTTTTAATAATATTTAATAAATTTCTTAATAAATTTCTTGTTATAGTTTTTAAAACCAATTTTTTACTCGGACAATTTTTTGACTTTTCTCATGGGTTTAACCAGACTCCCGTTCGTCTTATTCGTGATTTTTTGAAGTAACGGTGAACTTTATTGTGCTTATTAACCTTAAGTTCTATAATGAAGCAGCTTTATTACTATAATATATTTAATTTTTTATCTATTATATTTTATATAAATAAATGTTCATTGTAGACCGCACAAATGTAAGCCGTTTTTAACTTGCGTTCGGCGATTGGATTATATATGTGGCCCTAGTTTAGGTAGTAAGGTACATAAGTAGTGCTGAATGTCGTGATCCGTTATTTTTTTAATTCTATTTGTAATCTTACATTTTTCGAAGATTTCTCTAGTCACTTATGGATCCTTAAAATAATTTTAAATAAACGGTAGCTAGTCCGCTCTTATCAAATAGACTTTCCATTATTAACAATTAACACCACTAAAGAATTGTTATGTTTATAATTGACATTATTAGTGGTAAAAAAAAAACCAATTTCCTTTTTAACAGAGCAATTATCCCTTATCTCATTTGTATAATACTTCGTTATGTATAAACGATATAGAACCCTTCCTCATTTAACCTATTTACGAGATTTTTACATTGTTATAAAGGATCGCCTAGTACTGCTTTGAGAAATAAACCTTTATTGGTGCGCTCCAAAACGAAAAATTTTATAATTATTAAAAAAAATAAAATAAAATTAAATTTAAGTGATAATACTAGGTATTTGAGAAAAATGAACACAAATATATACCACGAAGACTTATATAGTTAATCCTTTTTTATGGTGTTATGTTTTGAGGGGTGAATTTTAAAATTTTGCTGAAACTGAAAATTTATTGAGAAGTTTTATAAATATATTAAAGAGGAGACACTATATAAGATAAAAGATTTAGAAAATTAGCAATTAAACTTTCTTAAAAAACGAAAAAGTTTCGTGATTAGGTTCCAATATAAAATCTAGCGGTGCGATGAAGTGTTCTTTACTTATAAATCTTGAGACTATAAGATAAGGAAGGTGTTGTATATCCAACTTATAACAAAAACCATTCATAGTAGGAGGATAGGCGGATTACTTATACTTTAAAACTCAAATAGGAACTCTCGAAGAAAGGTTACTTACTCTTATGAGAATAAATATGACATAAAAAACAGCATTACGTAGAGATGCTTAGTAACGAGGAGGCTGGAATAAAAATTTTTATATTCAGGAGGCTTTTATATTATCGAGAATCTAATAAATCCGAAACGTTAACTGTTAGTTCCAACTTTGAAAGCAGTGAAAGTAAATTAATGAAAGCGGAAATATATGTATCCAAGGGTGGGAGTAAATGTATAAATAATTTTGAGACAAAATATATATGCAATACACAGTAATAAGGCTACCCCTTTTTCCCACATCACACCCTAGCAAAATTTGTATAAAATTGTATATAGAAAAATATGTTAAAGTAAGAATACGTTAACTGACCAATTTCATTCTGTATTTATACCTTTACAAATAGTCGAAATATGCTTTCATAGATGTACAATAAATTTAATTGAACCAGGTAAATTTTACTTTGTTTAGTTTGTTTCCAATTAATAAGTAGATCAAATTAAATTTTTTGTTGAAATAATAATTCATTTTCTTGTATTTTTATTGGTGATTTCTCAGGTTTCTTACGCATCATTTTTCCGGTGAAAATTTAGAGGGTTAGTGTTTTGTGTTTGTTCGTTTGTATCTGTGTTTTATAGATCTGTACTTTATACTTAATGTATTATACAATATGTTTTTGTAATCCATGTTTATTTTTGTTTTTCTATATGAGTTTTGTTCAGTATATAGTTTCTGTATTTTGCGTTTTAAATTGTGTTTTAGGTGTTGTATCTACTGTGCTATTGTGTTTACATATCTTGCAGGAAACAAAGAGCAGGAAAAATAAATTTTCTACTGCAGGGCGAGCTATTTCTATTTATAACCGCGAAATTGCTATTTTAAGGAACGCACGTGGCAACAGAAGCGCGGAAACGGGGACAGAAATTTGTTAGCCAATAAAAACCGAAAAGCAGGTGACTTGTAACTGCATATAATAGTAGCACGCGCAAAGACATGTGATGACATGTGTTATATTAGTTTATACAACCATTTAGGCGTATGTCATGAGCAGTTCAATTTTTTTTAGTAGATTTAAGAAACTCTGCTTGGTTGAAATAAGCCAGAGATACATATATGTTTACAAACAAAATTCATATGTACCTTTTATAATATTCTTTTGTATATATGTTATCTTAGATTAGAGTGCTTCTTAAGCTTTAAATATATTTACTATTTGAAAAAGTAATGCTACCTCAACTTTTAAACTTACAAAAAATGTCTATGCATAATGACTTTTAACTCTTAATAAGGGCACTTCATTAAAGCTAAATGGCGGTGAGGCTATAATAAGTCCCGTTTGCAGCTCCTTAACCCGTAAAGTTGTAATAATTATAATTAGTAATTGCCATTACAAAACACATTTATCTATCGTATGATTAATTTTTTTATAATAATTTTTTTTTATTTTAAACGTAAAATTAAATTTCTTCGGACTTTTTTTATTAGCATTTATGTAAATGTATATCAATGCACCATCGATGCACACGAGTACCTATTTTTCCGCACTTTTGAGTATTGTAAATATTGCAGTTCCAAGTGTGATGTGCAAAATAGTTTGAAAGGAAAGGCACAAGCTCCTTCACTGAGCCTAAAAAATTTATTTGAGAAGATATTGCATTTTTGCTATCATAAAAATTTATTGTATAGTTATTACTATAATTGGATGTATTAGTATATTTTATTATTAATATAATAGGAATAAAATTACACAGAAACATCTTATAAGCATTAATTATTATAGCTACTAATACAAGTATTTACTTACTGTGAGATAGGAAAGCCTTATAAACAAAAATGTCAACATTATTTTTCCTTTTATATTTTTGTTTTTCATAAACATAATTGTTTTATTTGCTTTTTTTTTTTTAAAGCGATAAAGAAATGAAGGAAAACGGTATTATATTAACTATTCCATTGAAATGTATATAATAATATATAGATTTCACTTTATACCTAATCGTTAACAATTTTATACCTTGAGAACCAATAAAATAGTAGTGAATAAACCCTCCCGCTTCATTTAATGAGGAAAGAGCGATATTGATGTATTCCTTGTGTAGTAATGGCAGGTCAAAGCATGTGGTTGGAGTGCAGCCAATAAGAAAACTGTTTTGGTCATCGCAGTGGGGGGTGGGCATAATGATGCGGTCAAACTTTTTACCTTAATAATAATTTGTTATAAATGAATGACTAAATTTTTTGTAAAATTAAGTGTAACAGAACGTGACACTGTATTAATTTTTTACAAAAATGAAACCTAAAAAAACTTTAACATTAAAAGCTTTTTATATAATTATTTTTTACGCAAGTTACGAATACTATAATATGTGCACTATCTAAATTAGAGAATTCTTCTTATATAAAAGATAATGGAAAGTGTAATATTACAATAATAATAACAATACCCGTTTCACGAACAATACTTGGCACAACGACTTTAACATCGCCTTCGTAGCAATAACAAAAATCCGAAAGGCCTTTGTTACTTTTAATATTTTTCTTACACAACTCAAAAGCTTCCGTATTAAGTTCTACACCGTAAATTCTAACATTAAAGTTACCTACTGTGAAAGTTTCTTTTGATTAATAGTCTCCGGTGCTGTTTAATATTTATGTAAAACTTTTAAGTAATAACAAAATGCTTTTAATATTAGTTTACCGGCCTTTTTATTACGTGGGTATTAATTAAAAAACTTAATAAACATTAATAAAAATTTATTGGAGCTATTAATACAAGTCTCTGGTGTTCCTTTACTGGTTGCTTCTTTAATTTTCTGAAGAACACGCGCTCCTAGTACGCATAGAAAAGGCCCAACGCCACAGAACATAACGAGTATTCGCTCAGTTAAGCTAACGAGGTTGCTCATTCGTAAACGTTCTGAGGCTGATCTTCCTATTAATATATATATGTAGTACATTACTTATGAAAAGATGATAAGTATCCTCTTAAAAAAAACTTTAAAATAAAAATAAGTTGTTGTCAATAAATTTAAAGTAGGTTTAAGATATTATTATTATTTTCCTAATAATGATATAATATTATCCCTATTTTTGGGCTATTCTTATAAAAGATAAATTATAGTGGTCAGAATATTAAATAAACTTTATCTATTATTATTATAATATATACTTTACTTGAAAAGTTATATATATATAAGTAATAAGTATAGTATAGCTAACATATTTATAATTATGATAAAAAAAGTATATATCGGAAAGTTTTATACTATTAATAATGCAACGTTCAACTGTTCTTATTTATAAGTTATTTATTAAGTTTCCTTTGCGTTGTTTTTAAATACAGACTTATTATATTTAATAAATTTGATAATAACCATTATTCAAAAAATGTATATTTTTAATTTATTTTTATATATGCGTAAATATTATTATATTTTTGTAGCAAACTATTCATATTTAGTTTTATACTAAAGTTCTTCAGTTATCTTAGATAATTTTTATTCATTACTATATTACCCTAACTTTTAATTTTTATTTAAATTACTCTATATAAATTATTTAATACTTGTTAGCTTCATTTTCTTTTTATAAAAAAGGTATATTTTTACTGCTTTTATTTTCAAAATAACGTTGGCCTATTCTTATTAAAGTTAGTAACCTTTACTTATAATGCAAGATTTCATATTTATTTTATATAGGGCAATAATTAATAATTTTTTTAATTTGTTATTATTATTTTATTAAAATAAACTGATATTATTTATAAGCTTCAAACTTTATCCTGTTAAAATTAAAATAGGACACAATTAATTTATATTAATAAGAAATAATAAGAGCTATTTATATTAGTAATCCAAATTAACAACTTATTATTATTATTTATAATATGAAAACCTGAATAATAACAGCTATTAATATTCAGACTCAGTCTAACCCGATTCTCAAAACAATTTGTTGTTAATAAATCTAAGTTAGATGATCGTCGGTGCGCTAAAACTTCGTAAGTCCCCGTTCTAAAAATACCTGATAATATAAAAGTTTTTTTTTATAAAAAATAATTATTAAATAGAAATAGAAGTAAAAAAGAGTTATTAAAAATAACTAACAACTTTTAAAAAGTATATTTTATATTTATTAAAAAAGCAGCTTTTGGACGTCTATAAATTGAGAAAATATTAATAAATATAATTTAATATATAAAAAAAAATACCAGTTCGCTTTAGTACTTTGTTGGCCACCACATTAATATTAGAAGGGCTACTCTTTAGTATATAATCTCCGATAACAAACTTAAATTTATTAAGATCGTCAGAGAGTTTAATTATAACGATATCACCGACAACATCCTTTTTAAATTTCAACTCTAAAAAAAAATTATATATATGCAATAAATATATTAAGCAGAAGGTAACTATAAACGTTTAAAAGATTTATAAAAAGTATATAACATAAAAAAGCAAGTAGAATTTTATATTAATGTTTTCAAGTAATGTGAAACCCCCAATTTTGTGTTTTCCTACTTAAGTATTTGCTACTTTTTAAGGTTCGTATTTTAACACGGTCATCAAGGGCGAACGGTATAATAAGTAAAATAAACAATAAAAATGATGAAACCTTCTTCCTTTTTATACTATATAATGTTTATAAATATAAGTCAAATTTTGTAAATATATTTTATAGAGGTCTAAGAATAAAGTCAAGAAAGAACGAAACGAATAAGGAATAGCCTTTTAGTTTACTTTCAAAAAGTGATGAGTCTATATGAACATCTTTTAAAGACACTTGGCTATTCATAGAACAATTAATTTGTCGACTTTGGATAAGGAGGGTTAAACTGCCACTACCGACTACACATAAAACATCAAATAGATGTGCTCATTTTCCGCGTTAACAGTTGCATGGGCTTTCAATTTAATAAGTGAACATCTAATTTTTCTAGTACTTATTACACCATCGCAACTACTTACATAGTGTTAATTATTAGAATTAAAAAAAATTCTTGAAAATTATAATCACTTTTAATTCTCTTCCCTTTTAAGACAGATTTCAGCTTAGTATGGTTTTATAAAACCTTAAAAAATTTTTTTTTAAAAGGTTGTGACCGACTTTTTTTTTTTAAGGTCAAGGTAATTCGTTGCACCGATAGTTGTTAAAATTTTTTTTTCAAATAGTCATGCTAAACGTATACTTTATCGTTAGCTTTCTCCTTTAGAGTGCAGCTTGAATTCTTATAAAACCCCAGACTTAACTTAATTTTTCTTAATACCTAAATATATACTTATAAAAACGTTTTACCTTTTAATCTTTTGAGTTTATTTCCTAAATTCATTTATAAGGGGTTGTAGAGTATTTAAGATAATATACAAATTGGCTGGAATGGGTATTTATATGTGTGCGGGTAGAGAGTAACAATCTGAAAATGGTATTAACATTGTAAGTATATTGTTAGTAACATTGTAAGTATATTGTTAGTTATAATTAATCCTACTAAATAATGAGCTTTCAATAATAGAAAACTGGCTTGATATTTCAATAAGTATTAACTTTCCAGTTAGGGCCTAGTTACCACATTTTTCAAAGGATAATAAAGTCGTTTTTCTTATATAATACCGCTTATTCTACCATTTAATCCAATCCTAAGTTTTTATATGAAATTTTGAAAATAATTTGCTTACTACATTAGTTAGCTTAATTAAAAAAAATATATGATATAGTATTAAAAAACCAGCTTTTTTGTACATGCACGTATAAAAGCTTTCAATAAAATAATCTCCACTTTTTTGTATCATTTGCTATTCTTTCAGCCTCAAGGTCTGATAAAAACCAACTTAATTTTTTAGAGGTTGAGAATTTGCTTTAGTCTAGAGCCCTATAAACACAATTTAGGAATTAAATATATATAGGGCTCTCAAAAGGAAATAATCAATTAGTTTTTAAGTAATAACAACAAAAAACCTTTTACTCTACATTAATTTTATAAGTTTAAAGCTAAATAGCAAACTAGTTAAAATAAAAGAACACCTAGCTCACTTTAAGTTTTTAAACTTGACAAAAAGTTTATATTTTTTAAAATTTTATTGGCTTTCTTTATAGGCTAATGTATATAAAATTATTTTAAATATTAAGTTAATTAATCCGTAAGCCGATAAATGAGCTTTTTTGAAAGTTTACCTACACAAGTCTAACAATTCAGTATACAAATTTGAAGAAAATATTTTTTCTGTCAACTGACTATTAAACTTCTATTTATAAAAGGTATTATTAATGCTTTATAGTAGCATTTAAAGTTAATTACTAGTTTTCCATATAACTATCTACTTTATAAACAGAAACTTTAGACTGAGCTATTATGGTTATAGGTTTTAAAGGTTTAACAGCTGTTCAGGAAGCGTTTGCATACTGACTGCTTTAAGCAAAGGCTAAATAACAAAAGGTATTTAAACACTTATCCCCAATCTTCACTTTATATACATAAAAGTTAGTTTTAGGCCCCTGAGTTCATTCTCCTGTAGTTAAACCTTTAATTCAAACTACCAAGTTCTTAATAATTGATTTTTCTCCTCCACAATTTGGAGCGGAGGGATTTTAACACTAAGCGCAGTTATGGAGGGACCGACCTTTAATTAGGTCTAACAAGACTCTATAAACTATGTTGATACAGATATTTCTTTCACTGTAAGGGCTAAGCTTGTTTGCAAAATAAGTGCTCTAAAGATAAGTAAAAAAAAAACCTTTATAGCCGAGGGGGAAATAAACCAAAGGGTAAACATAAGATTAAAAACCAAAAGAAATTCTTAATGGTAAACTATAAAGGTCTTAGGGTCTCTAAGGTTTAAGTGGGGGACCTTAACTATAGCATTAAAAAATAGCAGGTTTTTAAACAATTAAAAATATAGGAAGTAAAGTCCATGACAATAGCAGTAAAAAGGCTCTTCTTAATAGGAAAGCTATAAAAGACAACTGATAAACTATTAGCCTTAAACAGTATGCTAAAAAGTGGTTACTAAGGCCCAGTCTAAATTAAATCTTTATCCACTTGTAAAGGAATTAAATTTTTTAATGCTTGCACCCGCTTTAAATAAGCAATTGGCAGCGACGTCAACGCTGAGTTTTTTTAATGGAGGAAAGGGGACAAAAAGTTGCACAAATATTTTACTAACATGAAACAAATATTTATGAAATTTAAATTTTTTTAATTTGGTGATTGTTAAGTTGAAATTATTAATTTTCTCCATATATATTTACGATTTATTTTCTAATATTTTGGTAAATGGAAGAGCGTGTTCCCTCTAACGAACGGGCTAGATTTTTTTAGACATACAAACATGCGCGGTATTAAGTCTTTTACTACTACAAAGCTTAACATAAAGTACTGAAATTTTTACTTGCAATGCAGTCTTTATAGTAATAAGTTATGATTCCATCCTGTTTTACTGATGTAATAACTGAATTTTCATATTACTGCAGATCGTTTTGATGGCGGCCGACCAATTATTTGTGAAGTCTTTTTGTTTTCTCATTGCCCCTCCGGTTTTTATAAAATTATATATGGAACGCTATATATTGATCTAGATTTATTATTGATAAATAATTTGTTGAGTTTTTTTTTTAACTCTTTTTTTTCCAGATCATATGATCGGCTTAAAAAAATTTCTAACGGAACACGCAGAATTATATAACAGTATTGCACCTCAATTTCTAAAAATCTTTTGTTAACAAAGTATTATTATTTTGATATTAGTGATCATCTGATAATCTGGACTGATAATTTTACTTTTTACTTATATGTACTTTAAATTAATTACATATTTATAAATTGCAACCGACTATGATTTACATTTTCAATTTTTTCACGTCTTGCTTGCTCTGCTACCATAACGTTTATTAATGGCGACCTTTACCCTGGTTCTGCAATGTTTGTAACTATATTTTTCTGATAAATTTTATTTTATTTATACTTTTTAATCAATATCTCCAATATTATTTTTATTTATTCGTTTAAAATATACGAATTAAAATTATTTTTATTATTACTTTTAAGTTTGGCTTGCAGCTCTTGTTTTTCGTTTTTTAGGTTATTTATTTATATATTTTTAACTAAGTTATTATAAAAATTACCTTATTTGATTTTTAGTTTTAAAGTTTATATATAATTTTAGGTTTTTGATTGAAGTTGAAAAAAAGAAAATACTGTATACTGGTATTTAATAAAAAGAAAAATGTTCTTTTTTCTTATTAATCATAATATCGAGAACAGCTTATTAATAATCTTTAAGCTTAACAATTAAATTATCAATATTGATGCAAGAGTATTTGAGGTTATCTTGATATTTTAATGGCTCTAGGATACTAATTTTAGTTTATTTATTAAATCTTAATTAATTTTATTAATATTCTATATATATTTAATCTTATTATTACGGAAGAGATTTGTTCTTTTAAGGTAATTGGTTACACCAAAAAAAATTTAAAAACTCTTTTAAAAATTAAAGTTTTATAAGTGGCTTTTATTTAAGAAAATGAACTTTTTTTAATTCTACACGCATCACCTCATTAAATATTTTAATCTGACCTGTAAGAAATGTAAGCTGAGTTAGATTCATTTACTTTTTCAAATTCTTCTACTTTGAAAGAATATACTTTTATGTTTGAAATAGTAGTAGTAAATCAAGGTATTTGAGAATTATAGTTAAAAGAAAAATAATTTTCATGATGTATTATTAATGATAATTTAAATTCTATATTAGTTTTAATACTATTTATATTAGCAAAAAAGTTATTTTAATTCTGACATTTTATTTTTTTAGGCGATTTTTTCGATTTGATGACCTCTCACTTTTCCGGATAACGTCGCTTCACTATAAGCCTGAAACGCTTCCCGTTCCGCTCGATTGCGTCTATTTGGACTCCACGTTTGCCCGTCCTACCAGCAAAGACTTCTGCACCCGCCAGCGCTGTGTGGCGGCCCTGACCGATTTGATTCATCCTTACTACCACTTGTATTATTACGTGTACATCTGCTGCCCTTACTTGGGTTCTTTTTAGGTATATTTTGGCAATTTTTGCATTGGAATAATAGTAATAATGTTAGTATTATTTTAAAGGAATACTTCTTTTTTTTATTATTATTATAACTTTGTAAATCAAAATTTTATTACTTCTGCTTACAGTTGGGAATTATTTCAATTTGAAGTTATAATAATATAAAACATAGTAAATAATAATTAATGGTGGATACTAATATTAATAATGACAATAATAACCTTTAATATTTTGCTTGCGTTACTTTTAATCTATATAAGTAAGTGTAAAATTTTAATATTTATAGTAAAAGTATAGTATTAAAAAATTGAAGAAATTTAAACTTTTAATAAACAGAAAATTAATTTATTTGTTTTGATAATTATGGAGTTTTTATTTTGTTTATTTTAAGAGCGAGTTATAAAAGGCATATAATTTTTTTTTTTATTTTCATTAGGAAAAAACTTATTTTATTTATTTTGTTATAAAACTTTGAGGTTATGAGGAACTGCTAAAATAAGTGGCGGTTTACTATAGGGTTAAGTTTATTCTTAATTGTTACTTCTTGCAGAATAAGTTCAATAATAATAGTAACACTTTTTTGTCTTTTAGATCCACGTGGATTAATGCCAGATGGAGATGTACTCAGCACTTACTGAGCTGGCCGAGTATTTTCCGCTAGACCCATTGCTCACTTTTACGCGTGTTTGCAACGCAGGGTATTGTCCCTCCAAAGTCTCAAAATGTTTCTCTTGAAAGGTCAATGTGATATATATAATAATAATACATTATAATAATAAAAATATTAGTGATAATAATAATAAATAATATTAAAAGGAATAATTTTAATAAGTTTTCTTTAGAATTTATTTTGCATTATTCAAGAAAATTTTCTATTTTTTTGTATTTTCTAATGTTTTGATATTTGGCGCTTTATAGCAAACGCCTATATTTTGCGCCTTATAATAATTTTTTGAACCAATCTAAATATAATTAATAAATTTGTTGTCCTACTAGTTCCGGTCACGTGCTAATTTTACACACTATTTGGTGATACTCATTATTTGTTGCAAATTTAGATGAAAAAGTATATTTAAATTTTTTGTCTGCTTTGCCTTCAGGCTACCGTATTGTATGGGCTCATCGGCAGAGCGGCAATCAGTGGCCTACTTTTGCAGGTGTTTACATTCAGCAGCATCGAGCACGTGAGAAGAAACTTTTCGCGTAGCTTTACAAAAATTCGGATAACGTCAAGGTTCTTATTTATATTAAAAATATGTTTTTATTTATTTATTACAATTATTTGTTAGTATATTTTTTAGTAGAATTTTCTCTTTGGATTTTGGAAATATTATTTTTTATAACCGTTTATTATTTTTTATCAAGTTTTTGTTAATATTTTATTTCTTACTATTATCTTTCTTTATATTATTATCATTTCGAAATTTATTACTATTTTATTTTAGTTTTTTTTGTTATGCATTATAAAATTAATATGTAATTAGTATTAGTATAATCATTCTAATTACAAACATTTTAATAATAGATGTACATAACAATGGTATTAAAAAATAAAAGATTATGGTATATTAATAATTAATTAACTTACTAAATAACTCAAGCATTTAAAATGAGTTTTAAAAATATATAAATTTTTTAAATTATTATTTTTTTATTAGTTTTGTATTTCTATAATATTATTATTACTATTAAAAAACTTAATTATGAAAAATATTGTTTATATTTTGCATATCGCACGAAATATTAAATTTTATTGCTATATTTAATTTATTATTAAGTTTATTTATTTTTCATATTTATTTTTTGATATTTTATTTATATCTGATACTTTTTACATATTTAAGCATTATTTATAAAAGTTTATTTTTATTTCTAAGAGATATATAATATATGAATATTGTAGGGAATATTATATTCGCTGCATCATAATAAATTTTAATACTTTTGTTTAATTTTTTTATTGAAGTTTTTATTTATTCTTTATTTATATAAAATATTTTATAACAAAAATTTTAGAGAATGTTTTCGTTGCATGATAATACACTTTTTATATTTTATCACTTAATTGTAAGAGTTTATTATTAATAGTTTATAGATTTATTTTATGAAAGATTTGGAGGATTCACATTATTTCTTAAAGTTGGTTATTTTTTTTCTGTGAAATATTTTATTACAAGAATATTAGGGAAGATTATTCGATACATAATTATGAACTTTATAGATTTTGTTTTAATTTCTTTTATAAGAGTTTATTTATCTTATTTTAAATAAAATTTAGTTTATGAAAGTTTTAAAGGATATTACAAGTGATGTATCATAAACTTATTTAGGTTTTATTTCCAATATAATTTTTTTATTAACGTTTATCATTGTTAATTTATTTAAAAAAATATTTTATAACAAAGAAATAGAGAATTTTTCATAATAAATAGTAAAATTTATCATCTTTTTTCATTGTTATAATAAGATATATTACTAACGAAAATTATAGAGATATTACATTCATGCATTCATCACAAGAAGGGTTGCGCCACTTTTTAAGTTATTTTCGTGTTCAGTCTGTGAAGTTCTGTTCTGTCCTGTTTGGGTATAAAAGCGCTGCTCAGGCTTTTCCGTTCGTTGCTCCTTTATTTTCTTATAAAAAAGTTAATTTTTCATTATAACGAAAATTCTTATTAAGGAAATTTTTTAATATATAATATAATATATTTTTAAGCTTCGATCTATTTTTTATCATAAATTTAATAATAGTTAACTTGCTTATCCTAAAGAAAATATTTTATTTGATAATTATAAGAAGCATAATAAACTGTAATACTTTTATTTATAATAAAGCAATAATTCCAGGGAATAGTCAAGAGTAGACATTTTTGTTATATATATAAAGTACGCTTAAAATATGTATAGCAGTTTTATTAATAATATATAGTGAATAGCATTTAGTAGAGGTTTTCAGCAAACAAACGTAAAAGTTTTGTTTTTTTTAAGAGATATACTTATAGTTATTAGCTAAAATAATAGCATTTTATTAGCTTTAAATAGAGTAAAAGTAAAATAGTTTATGGTATCAATGAATAATTTTTATATATAGCTTTTAGTAGTAAATACAACTTTTTCATTTATAATGGAGAATAATATTTATTAATTTTAATAAAAGTTTTTAATATAAAAAAAAGTAGATAAGAAAAGTATATATTTTAAAAACTATAATATATATACTTATTATTAAAGGACATTATATTTTCTTATCTTTTTTATTATAGAAAATAAAAGTCTTTAGTAAAAATAATTATATTTATTAATACACTAAAATAATAATAAATATTAAAGAATAATAGCAAAAAACGCAATAGAATTCTTTTTTAAAATTTTATAATTAGGAATTACTGTTATTGAGTAAAAGACTTTAAATATATATAAGCTTTTTATTATTATTTTTTTTAATAATAACAATAATCAAAGAAGTATACAAGACTTTTTCTATAAAAGAGATGGTAGAAGTAAGTTTCATAACTTAATTTTTAGGGGAATCGGTATAAAGTTTCATACTACTGTATTAACATTCTAAGAGTTTAAAATCTCACGAAACTTTTACTAATTTCCTAGATTTTTATTTATACTAAAAAAGAATTTTTTCTCCAAACTTTTATTAAAAATTTTCTTTACATCGCGTTATTATTGCTTTTTTTTTTTAGGAGTCCGTTCAGCTCGTCGCAAGTTTTAATGCTTTTAATTTTGTTGACCGTAAGGCCATTATTGAACAGAAAGTTTTAACTTTTGTTCAACTTGTTACACGTTATTTATACTTATTTATATTTCTTTACTTTATTTTTTTTTGTTATAATTATTATGCACCAAATAAAAGTATTGAAGAAAAGAGGATTTAAATTTAATATTTTTATATAGTTAATTTTTTTTTTTTTAGTTTTTTTTATTATATGAGTTTTTGCGTTATAATTTTTGTTTTTATGTTTTTATAATCTTTAAGTGAATTATTATGAATCTTGAGATTTTTTTAATTTCGAGTAAACTAATTATTTAGAAAGTAGAAGAACTAATGAACAATTTTTTTTAAGGGAATTACTTTAAGTAGTTTCTGATCGCTATTTACTTTAAATTTTAGAGCTTTTCTTTATAGCTTGAAGTAATGGATTTAATAAAATTTAACAAATTGGATTTTTTGTTAAGATTTATATTCGTTCCTACTATAATCATCTTTAGTAAATGTTTAGAACACTTTAAAACGTAGAAAAATATAAGTATTTATTTTTCAACTATAAAACTTTTTTATAATTTAAAATTTGATTAATTTGTATAAAATTAACGACGGTTTTTTATACTTCCTTTTTTTATTTGTAAATTCTTAATTTTTGTTGTTGTAGGAATTTCTATTTGTAACTTAGTTAGACGGAGATTTTAAGAAGTTTTATCTTTTTTTTTTTGGAGTCTCTTTACGATCTTTAGGCGCAAAGTGCAGGGGAATTGCCAGTAAATAACCGAGATTTCGACTAATTTTTGGTTCTCCTGCAGCGTCTCATCTAATTTTTAGTCAAAAATACTGATTAATTTATTATTCCGTTAATAATTATTTTAATAATTATATAAAAGTTATTACAAAGTAGAGGCCTTTTTAAGTTTCAGAGAATTTATTAATAAGTTTACAATTTTTACTTAATTTTATAAGTTAAGTAAAAAGTTATTACTTGAAGCAATCATTTCAACTCGGGCCTTTCATATTTTTAAAATTTTTTTTACTCAAATGATTTATTTCAAAATCTAATTTGCTTTTTCTAGCAAATTTTATGTTTATAGATATTATTAAAATTATTGTTACGAAGAAAAATATTGAAGAGAGACCAAAATTTAATTTCAATTTTCATGCAACTTGATGATTATCCAGTGAAGGAAAAGTTTATAAAAATAAAGCCTGAATATTAAGTTATACACAAAAATATAGTCTGCATTACATATATTTAAAAAAAAATAATTTTAACTTTCTTTTTTATTTGGGATTTCATAGTACTTTATAAATTTTGAAAAGTGAGTAACATTGTCGTGTCTTTATTTTTTGTAGTGAATTTTTTACTTAAATTCTATAAGTAATTTTTAGATTCTTTATTATAGGAATTTTTAATTTATGATAGCTTATGAGTAGCTTTTAAAAAATAACTAAGTTAGATAAATAATAGTTATGTAATTAAAAATTTTAATAAACACAAACCACTTGCGAATTTCAAAATTGGTCATTATTTTTGTTTTATTTAAGGAAAAGCAATTTATATTCGTTTACGAATAATTTTATTAACATCGATTGAGTCACATATAGTACTTCATTAAAAAAATATTACATTTTCCGCAAATCACTGGCAGATTTAAAAAATGAAATATTGTGGCCAGGTCTTCCCGCGTTCTGTTTTGACTTTCTACACTTGTGCAGGAGAAAATATGCAGATTAGTGGTAACTTTTGCAGTTGACACTTTTTTTTATATTCTAGTCTCACTGATGAAAAAGCACTCGAGAACTGGGAGGAGCACGGCCACCCAGACGACACGGTAAGGTTTGAGCCTTTCTTTTTAATCTTTTTTTTTAATCTGCAAAACTATAATTCCGTAAGCTGCTGAGTCTTTTTACCCTGTTCCACGGTGGCTTGTAGAACAGGAAAGCCTTTTAGCGTAGAAGAGTGAACACCATCATTAGCCTGCATACCTTTTCTCCTGCGCGCAGTTCATAAAACTTTCCAGCAGGAAAGTTTTTAGATTTCACCGTTCCTTATATAAAGTCGGCTGGGCTACTTCTTTCACTAGAAGGTCATGCCGTTAACATAAATTACTCTGCGGGAGGCCAGAAACTTGTAGCTTCATACCAGACTTCAGAATTATTGTCACTGAACTATATGATTGTTTTTCAATCTAAAGCTCACATACTGAAAGTTACAGGAAATTTTAATTGAGGGGTTCATTGATAACTAATAACTAGACCTGTCGTTTTTCATGAATACTCAAAATGGCAAATGGATGAATACGACTTAGTGGATGACACGGACATATTGAAACGGCAACCCATACAGCATAAGGCTAAAGAAGGAGTGAAAAGGATCAACAAGACTTCCAAGAGGTGTAGACTTACGGCTTGGCGGAGAGGATCTCCAGGCTTCGGGAGTGATCGCAATAATATTCGGCGGTCATTCCACTGCGACCAACTCTCCCTAGACTGGGTTAGTGAGGTTTTAGACTAACGTTTTGAAGTGGCAAACGTTTCAAAAACTGGGCTCCATCGTCACTATGCCTGTCTTTTCAAGGCAGTCAAAACATGTATCTAAGCCAAGTAAGATCAAAGCACTCTACACCGCGTTCGTGCATGCATTAGTCCCTCCAAAAACTTATTCATATTATCGCTGCCATCTTTTAAGCTACCGTAGAGTCTATATGACGGGTACCAGGGGCTATAACTTTGACCCTGTCCACACAGCGATCACATTCAGCTTCCAGCATTTGTGGCGAAAAACGCGATTATCTTACGTGATGTGGACAACATGGTTCGACCACAAATCTTTTTGGGATCCAACTTTTATGTGTGTTATCAACTGAACAACTACCGCTAAGAGTAAAATATTCACCCTAGGACGGTCATTAATTTGTAACACAAGCACATTGGACATAAGCTCCCCCGCTTGTTCCCTAGGTTAGCGGTAAGCATACAAAGACCAATTGGGTGCAAACTCTTTGTTTTCGTAGCATCGCACCCAATCGGTTACGACTAGCTCGTCTGTTCTCTTATCATGGTTTTCATCCAAGAGTGTCATCATGCGGACAATGTGCCACTATCAAATTGAGACAGAGAATTCGCCATATGCGCTATAAACTGTATTAATGCCGAGGAGAAACGCTCCATTCAGCGAATGGAAGATGTATCGCCCGTAGTATACCAGGCGGATACCTTCTACTTAAGGTCGACATCATTAACAATCAAGTCATTGACGTAACTACTAATAAGCGGAGTGGCACTGCTTTTAAAGGACCCAGAATATATTTTTGGCAGTTTGCTCAAGTACTCTCAAACCTTTGTAGCTCTCACTATGCAGGAGAGCACGAGTGTACTCTAATTGAAAATAACTGGGATTACTTTTTTGGAAAAAGAGGGAAATACCCATTGAATGGAAAAAAAAATTGACTCGCGAGTCATGCACTATTTGCATTATTCGAGATTTTTAAAAAAATATTTTACTAAAACCATTAAAAATGTATTAGCTACTTTTTTATATTTATGTTTATTGTTTCATTATCTTATAACTATTATAAAAGTAAACTAACACTTTGTAAATAATTTTTTACTCTGAAATATTTTATTTCTTTTACTTTATTTTCTATTTTAATCTATTATAAATTTTTTTTTCGTTTATTTGTTTTAAAAACTATTAAATGCTTATATATAGAAGTTAAAGCCGCGCCTCAACTATAGGAATTAATTAATTGTTTTGGTTTTCTTTCTTTTACCGGGGCTCCTCCATGATTATCATAGCCTGGTCAAGAGTTATATCGTTTGTCCATAATTAAAAGCTTGTGCGCAAAAAAGTATAGATAAAATTGATTTATATACTAGATTTATATTGAAAGTTAAGATTTACCAAAAAGTTTATATGTATAACTTCTATTTAAAAAAGTTTCTACAGAAGTGCCCATTGTCTAAACTCTACCGTTAGCGGAATAACGATAGTTATTAATAATATAAATCTCTTGTTCTACTTTAATATTTTTTAATTAAATTTAATTTGATAAACCTATTTATTTAGGTAATAATGGTTTGAATAATATAAGTCTGGTGAGTTATACTATATATAAAACATCCAACAAAAAGATTGCAGCTTTTACTTTTTTTAAAAAATACATCCGAGCCTATTGTAGCTATTATTAAAAGAGAAAAAAAAATAAAGCCTCTAACTATTTAGAACTAGCTTTACATATTTAGTTAACTATTCCAGTAGAGAAAAACTATTAGCTTTTTCGCCTTATATATTTTTAATAAACTGTAAAATTGAAGTTTAGGACTAATGAAGTGTGGAATAGTAGAGACAAGGCTAACGTAAAAGAATGAATTAAAAATTGTAACTTTTTATATAGGCATTATCTTATAAATTTCCGGCAAAAAAATTATTAGTTCGAGAGCTACTTCCTTTCCTCTTTGTTAGTAAAGAAAAGCCTTTAATTAAAATTTACTAAATATTAAAGCTAATAGCATGAATATCACTACAGAAGTTTATCCAAGCTTTTAAAATTTGTTGAGATTAATTTTTTTCTAGCTTAAATGCAAAATGACTTCTTTTATAAATAAATATATAATGTGAATAAATTCTAAAGCTTAACTGCTAGATGACTTCAAATATAAATATATATCAAAAGTCGTTAAATTTGTACCTTCACTGTAGCTCATTAATTTTCTGAAGAGTGCCAAAAGTAAATTGGCTCTCGAATTTTATAAAAAATATATTACTTATACAAATGCTAAGCAGTTAACTTTCTAATAAGTACTAAATGATTAAAATTAATAAGATTCGTTGCGCATATTAAATTTAGTACATAACAAACTATTAATTCGCTATTCCATACAGACAATTTGATGGCCCTTGATTTTTAAATAAATTACTTTAATTAAAAATTTGAACCGTTTATATATATAAGGAAAAGTTTAAAAAATAATATAAAAAATTATTAAAATATACAAATAAAAAAAAAGTTTGTGAACGTAAACTAAGGAATGCAAAAAAGTGGAAATATGATAAAAATAATAATTATGAATATTGTAATAATGATAAAAATAAAAAACTTACGATTTTTTAATATTATAATCAACGCTGAAAAAAAATATTATTTAAATTAAATTTAAGAATATTATTAAGCATCGCATAGAAAATCGCAAATAAAACTAATTAAAATTTATTTTGGATTTCTTTTTCTAACCTCGAATTTGAAAAGAAATTTTTTTTCTTGTTTAAAAATTTAAAATTCTTTAAATTCTTCAAAATTGGTTGAACTTAATTTAAAAAGAAAGTTGCATTCTTTTAGATAAATTACGGTTTTTACGTTCCTCACGCGCTTTCTATAAAAAAAGTACAATTAAAATAATAAAAAACTAACAAAAGAATTTAAATGTATACCGGAAAAAAAAAATTAAAATTCAAAGCAAAGATTGTCAAAAAAGTTAACCAAAAAAAAATAAAAAATTTATAATTTATTTATAGAGAAAAAGAATTTCTATTAAAATAGTGAGAAAAAAAGCAAAAAAAATAAATAATAAATAATAAAAATAAATTATATATAAAATTAACTTTTAAAAAATAACAAAAATTAAAAAATTAAAAAAAAGGGGAAGATAATACATACAATTCTAAAGTTAATAATTAACAATAATGAAAGAAAATTAAAAAAACATCATACAGACAAGAAAAAGAGAAAACAAAGGAGACAATTTATATAATAAAAAAAGTAAATTTTAAATTATATTTTAAAAACGAGAAGTATATAGAATAAAAATAAATATAGTAAAAACCTTAAAAATTATAATAATGATATACTGAGTTGTAAAAAAAAATAATTAAACAAAGTAAGTTAGTGTACACGAAAGTTAAAACTGTATAATATTTTATTATAAATAAAAAAAAATTTAATATAAATAATAATAGTAAGTAAATAAAAGAAAATTAATAAAAATGTTCATATATAAATAGAAAAATACAATACATTAATATATAAAATAAAATTCATCACCAAATTTAAATGAAAATAAATTGATACACTAAAAAAAATAAAAAAAATTTAAAGTAGTAAAATTAATCATTACTAAAAAAAAGTAAATTAGTAGATATATCAATATAAAAAAAAATTCTATCAGAAAAAATAATAATTGATAAATAGTAGAAATATATAATATTAATAAAAAGATACTTTGTTATAAAAATAAAGTAATAATCCTATAAGTAGAAAAAATAATAATAAGTAATATGTATTTAATAAGTAGAAATAGATAGTAATAAATCAATATTTAAATAAAAAGTAAAAAAATTCAACAGGAGAAAAAAATTATTACTAAAGAATATAAAATCGTAAAAATATAAATCATAAAATTATAAAAATATGAAAAATAATTCTACAATTAAAAAATAATTAATGAAAAAGAAAAATAGTAAGAATATAAATACTTTATTATGAATAAAGTAATAATTATTAGTAGGAAAATAATTATAAGTAAAAGTAAAAGTAATTTAAGGAATATATATAAAAACAATAATTTAATACCGATCGATGCTCGTCTATAAGTTTGTCCATTTCTTCCATCTTCTGCTGAATGGCAACCCATCTAAATTCAAAAAAAATTAAATTATTAAAAATCTGATTTATAAATTCTCAATAAATTTGTTTTTATTATAAAATAAAAATTTTTGTAATAAATACTAAAAGAGTTCGAAATTTAAAAATATTATAAATTATCATAAAGAAACTAGTTAGTAATAATAATAAAGCTAAAATAAAAAAAAGTATATTCCCAAAAATTAATTATAAACAAAACGATAATATAAATAAAAAATCCGAACGTAAATTTTACTTAATAAATTTACTGCTACTAATAATTATTAAAATTAAAAAAATACATTAAAGATTAATAATTTGAATAACAGCATTTTGAAGTATATAAATTATCTGCCTAAATTATTTTATTTTTTAGTGTTAATAGTTTAATTAATTTAATAATAAAACACAAGCAAATTTAAAAATTTAGTAAGTAATAAAATTTCATTGTATAATCAAAGTTATTATATAAATTAATTAAAAAACTAAAATTAAAATTGTATATTAGTAAAATATTTTAGCTCATTTCAACAAAATGGGAAGATAATAATGATAATAATTAAAGAAAACCTTTCCGCACTTTTTCTTAGTTGAAGTCTGGCACGTTTTGCTTTGGAAACAAATCTCGCTCGGCGAAGTTTAGGAATAGGAAATTCAACATCGTGCTTTAAGCAAATCTATTTATAAAAAAATATTTATGGACTCAGTAGTCAATATAAAGGTATTAGTGATAACAAAAAAACTAATTTATAGAAAAATTAAGTAAATTTATCAAAAAGGATTAAAAAAAGTTATTAACTTTTTTTTAAAGAGCTGATAACCAAAATAATTATTAAAAAATTGGAGAGGAAAAAATTATTAGTTAAAGTTCGTTATAAATATCAAAGTATAGATTGAGTAAAAATTTCAAATAAAATCAAGCACATTGTAACAAAAAAGTGGATTTCTTTTATAAAATCTAAATTGTTAATTAATAAAAAATTATTTAATATTAGGAAAAAATTAAAATCTACAAAATTAAAATATAATTTTGTATATTCAACAAAAAAGATTAAATCTTTAAAAAAAAATTAGCAAAAGGTAAAGTAGAAAGAAATTTATTTTAAGCAAAAAAGTATATATAAATTAATTCAAATAGTTAAAATATATGAAAGTTAAATAAATTGCAAAACGTAAGTATTAAACAGTAATTTATAAAAAAAATTTTTCAAATATTCTCGAATTGTATAGAATAATCAAAAAATGTTAAAAAAACCTTAATAAATACTTTACAATTTCTACAATTTGAATAATTCTTTAAAAAATTAAAAAATCAATTAAACGATTGTAAAAAAAACATCTTTTAAAAATTATTTATATATTTTAATAATTAGATATTTAAAGAAATAAAAATAACAAGTTAACATAAATCTTAATTAAAATATAGGATACCGAACAGTCTAGAAAGGCTATCTCATTAATATGTTCTACTAAAGTAAAACGAAAAAGAGGGCAAAGTTATGCTCCTTTCTTTACGGTGGTTATTTAACACGAAGTAGTTTAGTAACCACCTGACTCGAGTAGGAAGTATGGCCCATATTGCCCACTACGAAGCCTGAGAGGGGGAGCAAAACTTTGCCCTCTTTTTCGTTTTACTTTAGTAGAACATTTTATTGAGTTATCCTCCTTAGACTGCTAGTTCATTCTTTTGTTCTATAAAAGTAGGACTTAGTAAAGCCCCAGACATCACGAAGGGTGAAGAATTTAAACGATTTAAGGGGTTTTTGTAAAAAACTTGCTTTATGCATACTAAGTTCGATTCCTAATTTTACCGATGCTGCCTTTACTACAAAGGTGAAAAGGTGTACGGGTAGATTTTTGGAATCGAAGTTTTGGGTTCATTTCCCGTGGTAGTACTATTCCGAGCAGTGTCTAAGTGTACTTAGGTTGGCCAACCTCCTGAGACATTTCGTTATAACTAGAAGCGTTAATACTACAAATGAAAGTTAGCCTACTACCTGACTGATAATAGCTTGTAGCAAAAATAAATTTATCATATATTTAATGTGGTTCTATATTAATTTTCTACTTTATAAGTCGAAAGCCTATAAAAGCTGAAAAAAAGCTTACAATCAAAAAAAAATTGAAATTTAATCTTTAACTTTTGAGTAACAATAAAAAAAACTCAATTCATAAAAGATTTCTATAAAAAAATTAATAAAAATTTAACGTTATAATACTATAAAGTTTAACAAGTAAATAATTAGATAAAAATAATAAAAAGCTGGTGTAGAGCAAAAGAATAATTAAGTAGAAGAAAGTTTTTTAAAATTTTTTAATAGTAAAATAAAATTTTTTAACACAAAATTAACTAATTTTCTGAGTTTTCGTTAAGATATAAATTAAAACTTTATCATATACCACTTTGATGCTTTCAAGGCAAGAGAATTAAAGTAAAGAAGATAAAAAAATCTGTAAGCAACGTACAAACATTTTTTATTAAAAGATAATAGGAACACAAAATCGGAACAATGAAATTTAATAAAACTTTAACTTTAAAATTATAATATATAAACTAAAATTAAAAAGAAGAGTTCTGTTAGTACTTCCATTACTGTTATTAATTATCAGCATAAAAGTTTTTTAGATATAAAACGTTATAATATTAAACTTAAAGATTATTTTAACAATTAAAAAAAAATTACAAAGAACTTTTTGTAAGAAATTAAAGTAAAAAAACTATATAACCTTTCTAAAATTAGCAAGCTGGCGCGATCTATAACGGGGCTAAAAGTAACAATATAATAATAAATAAAAGTAAATAAATTTTCCAAAAAGTGCTAATTACTAAACAATAATTGTAAATATAAAATTTACGTTATAGTATTTTCCTTCCACTAATTTTCCTATTGTAAAAGGTTCTAAGTAGTCTCGCGTTTCTTGCAACAATTTAGTTACATTAGGGCCTTGTGTTTTCCAATAACAATAGTATAAAGTAAATATACGTTGTTGTAAGTTATTACCATACTTTACCACTTTATCGTATATTGAAGGTTGATAATTAGCAGGTTCTTCAAAAGCTGGAGAAGGTTGTGTCCGTCTTAAGTATTCCTCTTTGTATTGCTCAATAACGTTTATAGCAATTAACCGTTGTGTTGTATTTAAAATATTAACTGCAGGTCTTCTGTGAATATGAAATAAATTTAAAAGTTGAATCATTTCTGTAATTGTTTACTATTCTTCGTAGCTCCACTAAAAAAATAGCTGAACCTAACTTTTCAGTGGAGTTGCTTGCATGTGACCTCTTTTCCTTTAAAAGAGTTTCTCTCTAAAAGTGTATTACGGTGTTCATCTTGTTTATAAGCGCAATCTATTTTGCAAATTAATAATGCTTTTGAGTTGCAAATACGTAAACTTCTTGAATATTTGCAGACGAAAAATAGTATATTCTACAGTTCTGTTTCTCTCTTTCTATATTATTAAATAATAATACATTAAGCGAACCAACGTTTTATGTGAATTGTCTGGTAGGAATTTTAATTACAAGCATTTTCCTTACAAAGAGAAAGATAAACTTTTCGGTTACGAAATTGTTAAGGTTTTTGTTTCATTATGATTATCTTTTAGAAATTTATTATGTGAAGTCTATTTAAAAATTGCTCATTGTTTTGTTTTATCCTTTACGGCTTTATGTGAATTTTATAGATTACGGATATTGAAGACATTCGTACTCTTGCGATAGAACTTGAACATATTAACACTAAAGCTAAACATTTACACTTGTCAAGAGCTGATTCTGATAATGTTTTTAGGTTTAATTTTGAAGCATTGGATTATATATAAGTCCTATACCTGTTAACGTTTTTTACTTTCCTCCACGAGGGAATTTTATAATAACGTTATAATAACTTGTTTTCTTATCTATTTCACCAGTGTCACATTTACTACACCCCCGCCGGATTCCTCCGGTATTTCTCATGTCCTTGAGCACGTCACATTGTGCGGATCCAAAAAGTTTCCATGCAGAGACCCCTTTTTTCACATGATCGAGAGATCCATGGCAACTTACATGAATGCTTGGACTTGTAAGAGCTGCAATTTTTTTTTATTTTTATTTTTATTTCTATGCTTGAGTTTTATAAATTCATTAAATTTAGCGAATAGGTACACCATGTACCCTTTTTCCACGCAAAATGCTAAAGATTATCAGAATTTGATGGCTGTTTATTTGGATGCTGTTTTTTTCCCGCGTTTAGATGTAAATATTATTTCTAATATAATAATAATAATAATAATAATAGTAATAGTAATATGTTATAATAGAAATACGACTTTTTTCAAGAGGGATGGAGGCTCGAACACGAAGATCCAGAAGATCTCACGACTCCTCTAAAATTTAAAGGGGTTGTTTTCAATGAAATGAAAGGAGATATGGTTATGTAGTTTCTGTTTTTTTATTGGCCCAAGAGTTTTTTTAGATGATAATTCATTTTTTAAACTTTTAATTTTTATTTGATTATAATATTATTAATTCAGTCAAGCACAGAAAAAATTTATTATGCGAAATACTTGCAAGCACTGTTTGGGAATTGTGCCGATGGTTACTATTCTGGCGGAGAGCCTCTGGAAATAGTTAAAAAGTTAACCTGGAAAAGTTAATATTTTGAAATTTATATTATCAACATGTACAGTAAACCAACTTTTATTTATTTTTTTTATTAAGTAAATTTCTTCTCCGATTGTTTATTTTTAATAATAAAAGGGCTTCTGGAATACCATAAATCTTTCTATCATCCCACCAATAGCCGCTTCTTCACTTACGGAGATTTACCTCTTGAGTCTCACCTGCAATATATTGATGATAATATTCTTTCCAACTTTTCTTATGTACTTCTTTAATGTTTTTTTAAATAAGAATATATATAAAATTAATAACTTTTATTACTATTGTTATTATAATTATTATTATAAATATATAAAGTTTAATAACTTTTTATTACTGCTATTATAATTTTTTATTATAATAGTAAAATTTCTCATATATATTATTTAAGCATCCCATTGTTGTTGAACGTAATGAAAAGTGTTGGACAGCATCGCGTGAGATTCGAATGGATTGCCCGTTCGATCCAAACCTACCGGAAGACAGGCAAATTGTAGGGCCTATTTCCACGTGTACTTAGCAATTTTTTAATCTCCTATAATAATAATGAAGCTTTTACCAGCGTGCCTCCCTGAACTGGCCACTGCCGAAAGTTTCTTCTGTTTATGGCCACTTTTCCCGCAGAGTGGTCTCGGATTTGCTGCTTCTTGGCTCGTCTTCCCCGCTTTATCAGGTTTTGTTACTTTTGATAATCTATACTTTATTATTATTATTATTATTATAAAATAGGCACTTATCAAAACTCACATAGGGACTTCTTTCTCGCCTCTAATTGGCTATAATCCGGGTCCAACGGTGCCAGTTTTCTCAATAGGTTTATTTATTTGGCATAAAATAATAATATTAAAGGCACTATTAATTAAACTTCAATCAAGGCCTCCAAGGACTCAAGGAAGAAGCCCTGGAGGAAATGCAAATTCGAATAAAGGAAACTCTTACGAAGGTTTTCTTTTTGTTACTTTTTTATTTTCTCATTTATTATACTTATTACTTTATATTTTTATTAGTATTTTTCACAATTACTGATGAATAATAAATATAAATATAAGAATTTTTAATTTGCTATGAATGTTGAGTACATAATATAATATGCTACTATTATTACAATATAAATGAAGATTATAAATTTAATGAATGTAATGGGAGCAGCCTCATATATATAGCATACTGGTTAAATTAACGCTATTTAGCCCCTCGTACCCAAGACCCGTTAGCTAGGCGGATCTTAAGTACAAGTCTAACACCACATGCAGCCAAGTTGTGTTCAAGCTTAAGGTTAATTAGCCTATCACTTTAGCTCAAGAAATGAATAAAAATTTAGTAAAATTGCTATAATTTTTATTACTAGTAAGCAATAAATTGTTTTATGACTTGGTTTGATGGTTACTAGAAGTTTTAGAAATTGTAACGAAGTAAATTTTATAGACACAAATTGTTTAGTAAGTACCTTCATTATTGACTAGTGTCTCACCGACCAAAACCTTCAAGCCAATTACGGCGGCTTACTGCACTCGTATGAGCTTGAACGCCGCCAAGAGGTGGCTAGTTTTGGCTTAAAACTCGCAGCAAATTTAATGGTGAGGGATATTTAGTTCCCTCATTAAATTTTAAAAAAAATTTTTTTTGTTGGGGGGCTCTTTATAATAGGAATTTTGGTGTAAAGGCTATAACATGAGCGAATTGCTGGATACACGTGGTCATCTCCGGCGCGTGAGGGAGGAATTGGCCAATAACTAGTGAATATTTTATGTTTTGTCCAATGTGAGTGTAGTTAGCAGTGGATATACATTTTTACAGTCTTATAGAAAAAGTGCTCGGCGAGGAACTATTGAATAATAGTAACAACCAAGTTTTGTTTATAATAAAACCGAATAAGATCTACACTAAAGAGCTACAAGCCTCTGAAGAAGCGCTACTAACGCAAGCCATTCAAAATCTTTCTGAAAAAAGCAGGAAAAAGTGAACCAAACTTTATTTATTTTTTTTCTATTTTATTTAAATAACTTTTTTGAAGGGTTTATGAAGTCGGAAAAAAGTTACTTGCAATACAAAAAGAAGTATAATTTATAATTTTGTTCTAGTAGCTGGTTATTTGCTGTAAATATTAATAGTCGCGTGATCCCGCGTGCTTGCCAATGCTTCATTTAAGCGAAGTAACCAGGACAACAACTCCCGTGCATTACACGTGGGCATCCTCAAATAAAAACTTTGTGAAGCTGGCGGTTTTTGACCAACCTACCAATGGACTTTTTTATTTTAAAATACTGTTTAACGCTGACCAACTGCCGACCTCTTTGAAACCCTATTTGTTCCTTTTTACTTATTTTCTTCCACGATTGGGTGCTGGCGGTCGGAGCAACGAGTTACTTTCTTTATTAAGTCATTTCGCTTAAAATTAAAACGTTGAACTTTTTTGATATGAAATATTTATTATAGTTTACTTTACAATAATAACCAATCAGGATTTTTATTTGCCAAATATAAAACAGCTAATTGGCTGATTATTTTGTTAGGGAAACCGAAAGATGCTTAAAACTGTGGACGGGCGGCTTAACCTCGAGAGTTGTGCTTAGTCAAAACGGATTTGCTATAAATAACTTTAAAACTGTATTATAATTAATTTATAAAAATAGAAGTATTTTACTTTATAACAAATTATATTATATATATAATATATATCATTATTTATTATTATTATTAAATTTTAATAGTTATTATAATAATAATTTTTTTTGTTTATTATTATTTTTTAAAAAATTTGTCTTATACTTTTTAATAAACTTTATTATATACGTATTATAACTATAGATAATATTATTTTTATTTATTTTATTTTTTTGTTTATTTTTTTAAAAGAAAACTTATTTTTTGTACGTTTATAATATATTTTATTATATATATAATAACTATAGATTTATGTTATTGTTATTTGTTTTACTTTTTATTTAAATTTAATTTGTTATAATTTATAAGACTTTTATATTTAATGTTATTATTATAATTATTATCAGTATAATTTTTTTTTTTAAACTTTTATATTTTTTATTTTTATAAATATAATTATTTTTAAAAAAAATTTGGTATTATACTTCTTTAGTAAATGATAACTATTAATTTACAATATTAATTTCTGCTTTTTTTATTTATTTATTACTATTATTAATAAATTTACATATATATAATAATATAATAACTATAAATTTATATTTTTATTATATGCTTAACTTTTTTTATCAATTTTTTTTAGTTCAAATATATATAAACTTTTTTATTTTACTTTATTAAAATTTATTTAATAACTAATAAACTTTGTTACTATTTATTTATATATTCCTTTTTTTGTCCTTTATTATATGAACAACTTTTATACTGTATTAATATTATATTTTGCTCAACTATATTTATAATAATTATTAGTGTAATAATAATAAATAAGCTTCAATTTGTTTTTTAAAAAAACATATATACGTTATTATTAAATACTTTTATTTCTTATATTATTATATTTATTTTTTTCAAATATTGTTAGGAATATTTTTTATGCTTATAACTTTTTATAACATACAATAAATTTTCAGGGCGTTTTACTTGAAAGTTATTGTCTTCCAGAGAATATAGAAAACTTATTTTCATTAATAAAAGACTTTTTAAACACGCCAAACTTTGACGATAAACAAAATATAGAAACTCTTTTGGACTCTCTTTTAGCTGATTTGAGTTGTTTTTTAATTTTTTTTTTACTTTTTTAAATTTTGTATTTTTTTATATTTTACTATTAAATTTATTATTCTCGTAAAAATATAATCTTATATTTTTTTAACTTTTATTTTAAATATATTGGTATTTCTATTATTACAACTTATAAACTTTTAAAGAATAACTTTTATGAAAATTTTAGCGAAAATATTAAAAATAATAAAAAGTTTTTAAAAAAAATTTAACAACTATCGTAAAACAGATTTTTTTTAATATAAAATTTTTATTTTTATTTTTTTTAAATATTGTTTTTATAAACTTTTTTTATTCTTTTCGTTATATGTCTATTTCAAACTTTACTTTTAACGTAAATTTGTTTATATTAATTATAATTATATATATTATTAACAATATAATCTTTTTGCTTGTATACCTTGGTATTATTATAATATAAAATATAGAACATTTTTTTTTATTTAGATGTCGACTTTTTCTAATTTTTTTTGTTTTAACTTTTGTAAGAAGTTTAAAAAATATTATTTATTTATACATATGATGTTTAAAAACATAATAAAATGTATATTTTTATTTTATTTTATTTATATATTTTTTCTATTTATATCTCTATTATATTTTAAGGTAAAGGAATTTTTTATATACTTTATTGTATTTGTTGATTACATTAGAAATATATATATTTTTTAAACTTCTTTTATTTATTTTTTCGTATTTTATTTCGTAAATTTTTAAATTATTTTAGCCAATGATATCATTGAAAATGGCCATAATATGGCCTCCATTCGCTCTTCTGCGCATATTAGTGACTTTCATGCTTACAAAGAAGTGCTTCTGGGTTTATTATTAGTATTTTTATTATTATAATTATTTAGTACTATTTCTAAATTTTCATAGGACTCAGCCAAGTGCGGTTTATTATTAATATTCACGAGAATATTGAACAAATAATAGAATCAATGAAAAGCATTGGTTATTATTTTATATAATTATATAATATTTAAATGTAATTATATTTTTTATTTTCACGGTTATAAAAATAGCAATAACGTTTAAAAGTTTTTTTTTAGCGCGTCAAATTAATTAAAAAATCGAATTATTGAATATATAAACGCCTGAGTGACTCCCTTTGTATTTTTTTTAATATTTGACCAATAAAAATGTCGTTTATAGGAAACCTTTGGCGATATATATTTTTTTAAGATTTATAATTATTAATCAAAAGAGTAAGGAAACACTATTAAAATACAATAAAGTTGAACTTTTTTAAAAAAAATACACCAATTATCTTAATAATACAAAAGCACGAGGTGCCATCCGCCTGCCACTCTCCTAAAGTAGCCAATTATCTTATAGAACGCGTAAATAAGTAATATGTATGCTTAAGGCTTTTATTGGTCGTTAATAAACTTTAGCTACTGTTACTCTACCTCATTGGACGGCCAGTTGTTAATGTGCACCAGTGTTTTAATTGTTTCTTGGAGTATCTTATTTTAACATTATAATATAATTGGAGGAGGAGCTTAATTATGAAGCTCTGTTTGTTTTTAATCATAACTATAAATTATCTTTTCAGTACTACTTATTATATTTACATTTATTTTTAAATTGTTATAATATATTGTTATTTTTTTTATTTATTTGAAGAATTTAAAAATCGTGCATAGTTTATATTTTAAATGTTTTATAAATGTTATACCAATTTTTTTTTTTCAATTATTAAGTAAAAAAAAGTAAACAAACTATATTATTAAATGTTAATTATAAAATTTCATATAAAATATAATTAGTAATTTTTTAAATTATTTTTATTAATAAAATAATTGAGTAAACATAATTTAATACTATAAGTTTTATTTATAATCAAAAAATCAGAAAAAAAAAATTAAATTTTTTCGCTTTACAAAAAGAGGTAAAAATAAAATAAATAATATTAGTCGTGAAATCTTTAAAAACAATATATACTATTTACTATAAAAAATAATTATCTATAATTAAAAAAAAATTTATATATCGATGTATACGAAACTTTTTTTTTATACATGATTATAAATAACCGATAAGAGGCCTTTTAATTTGTACTACTTTATTTCTTTGTGTCAATACACGTTTGTGTATATTTTGTGCATATGTACACTTTTATTACTTCAATGCCTATCGATTCATTATTATTATATAACTTAATTAAATATAATGAGCTTTATGATTTCAAAAACTAATAAAAAGTTTTTTTTTCTATATATTATCGCTACCATGTTTATTGTTATATATTATATATTTTTTACATATATTATGCACAGTGAAGTACGTTTTTACTAAAAAGAACGTTAAAGCGGCTGTGCATTCAGATCTTTTGCAGGAAACTTCTACTAATATTCCGAATATCCTCGAACTTTTGGATTCTTCTATGCTAAATCTTCCACAAGGTGGAGTATTATTATGATTTCTATTATTATTATTACTGTTATTAATAATATTTCTAATATTTTTTTACTATTGGTTTTTCTTTTTATATTTGTTATGTTTATTACAATTATAAATATAATATGCATATTTCCTTTTATGAAGTGTATTATTTCTTTGTTTATTGTTGTCGTTTCCTTTGTAAATAAAAAGTTTTTGTATTAATTTTTTAATAAATATTTTTTATACTACTTTTTTGTATATTTTTATGAAACTTTATATTTTATTATTAGAATATTTTGTTGTAAATTTTTTTTTCCTGTAATATTATGATTTTTAGAATATTTTGTTATAAAACCTTTTTTTCCTGTTATATTATGATTTTTATACATATTTTTTGTCAGTCTCCCCACGTGAGGCAGGAAGCACATGTGACCAAAAGTTTGTGTTTACCTCTAAACCCTGTTACCTTCCTTTGGAAGGCGCCACGAGGTAACTTATATTTTGTGTTTTTTGATATATTTTTATTATTTAATTTTTTTTATGCTAATAATAATAATGATTATAAATGTACAGTTAAATATAGAACTTTAGATTATTATTATGTGTATATTTTTTTCAATGATAAATATATATATATTATCTACTACTATTATTATTTTCTATATTATTTTTCTTTTTTTTAAAAATATTTATAAATATTGTTGTTTTTAATTTTTTTAATATTTATTTTTTTATAAAATATATTTTTTAATATTATTGAAATTTAATATTTTATTATATTTAAATAAATAGTTTCTATAATATTTTATAAATTTACTTCATATTTTTATTAATACTAATAATTCTTAACTCACTAAATTAAAAATAATTGAATATTATTTTTATGATTATTATTAATTATTATATATTTTTATTATTATTATCATTAATTATTTATTTACTAATTTATTATTAAAGATATTTTGTTATTAAAGAACTTTATCACAACTTTTTTCGTTAATAATACTTATTTTTTGTTAATGTTTAATATTTTCTATCAATAAAATATTTATTTACTAAACTTTTAAAAAAATTTATTATAATATTAACATTATCTATATTATTTTATAAAAATTGAATTATTTTGGGAGTTATTTTATATAAAGAATTGATTTATTAAACTTATTATATAAATATGAATGCATTTATTATTATTATTATTATACATAATAAATATTTATGAGCATATTATATAAATATATTTATTATCTATATTTTGTCCAATTCATTATTATTTATTTAATTTTTTATATAATTTTTTATTTTTATTTTTTTTCTATTAAAGTTTCAACGCGCTTTCTTTTCGAGGCTTTCCTTTAAATGATTCTCGTTTTCCTTCTCTTCAAGTTTTATCAAAAATTATAAACCGAAAGTTTCTTCATCGGGAACTTCGCGAAATGAGTTTTTCTTATTATTATTATTTTATTAATTTTTTATATATATTTTTATAGTTTTATTAATGTTTTATTATAATATATTTTTATAATTATTTCATCATTTTTTATAAATTTTTTTTTATATTTAACTTCATCTTTTTTTTAATATTTTACAATTTATTATATTTTATATTTATTGTTATTAATAAAAATTATACTTATAATATTTTCTATTTAGTTTTTAATATTATTTTATTTTTTTATATGAACTTTTATTATTTATTTTTATATATACTCATTTTCTTTGTTATTACTTTTTCTTTGTATATTATAAAGTATATTTATTTATATTATTTATTACTTATCGTATTTTTTTTGATTGTTATATATGTTAACTATTATTATAAAAACTTTTATCCGCTTAAGAACTTTACTTTATTTTACTTAATTATTATTTATATATTTTTAAAAGTTTTTTATTATTAATAATAAAAATTTATTTGCTAAAAATCTTTATTTTTCTATTATTTAAAAATATTATTTTTAATATTAATTAAAAAAATTATTATTACTATTATTATAGGCGGCGCATACGGGACTGGTTGTACTGCTCAGAATGGAGCACTTTCCTTTTATTCTTATCGTGATCCAAACGTATTACACTATAAATAATGAATTTTTAAAAAATTTTTAATCAAAGTTTACAAAATATATTATTTTTATAAACTTTTACTTTTGTTTAGTGTATAAAAGTTTATGCTTAGATATATTTTTAATGAACCTTTATGTATTTTATTATAAATAAAGGAAAGTTATATAGTTTAACTTTTATTATTACTAGTGTAGAAAAAAAAAGTATTTTTTTATATTCTTATTTAAGCTTCTACATATTTTATTATAAATAAAAAAATATAAAAAAAAATTGTAAAAAAAGTTTAATTATATATTATTTTATTTACTTTTACTTTTGTTTTTATTAGACTTTTACCAATTTGCTATCAATTATGATAATATTATTATAAGAATATTTAAATATACTATTCATATATTCTTTAACTTCTGGAAAAATAGTTTATATATATATAAATTTAAATGTTAACCTTCTTTACTATAAATGATAAATCTAAAAATTAGTATAATGACAAAAGGTAAAGAATATAATACTTATATAATCTTTTACGTTTGATTATTTAGAAGAAAGTTTTATTATAATTTTTCTCTATCTGAATTTTATTATAAAACTTTTATATTTTATATTTATATTATATTAAATATAACTTTTTCTTTTAACTTTATTTTTTTTATATCAATAATAAAAGTATTGAAATTTATAATTTATATAAACTTTACTTTTTATTTTTTTCATTTTCAAACTATAAAGCTTATAAAACAGTTAAAGAAAGTTTATTATAAACATATTTTTTAACAAAATTTTACTTATAATTAAAATATTTTACTTTTTTATTTATTTATTTTTTATTATTAAATTGTGGTTTTATATAATATTTATATAAAATTATTATTAATTTTTATATATAAACTTTTATACTTTTACTGTTTATTGTTTAGTTATAATTATAATGAAAAATAAGACATTTTCTTTTTTTAATTTTTTCAATTATCATTATTATTATATTTATGAAGATCGAAAGGACTTTTTCTACTTTTGAAAAAAGTTTTGAGTGGCTTTCTTGTATGGAAATCGATACTAAAATGCTTAATGAAGCAAAAGTTTTATTATTACTATTATTATATAATTTTGTGACTACTTATTTTATTATAATTATTATTATTTATTATAAATTATTATTGTTATTGTCATTTTTAATATGGTTTATGATGATTTAATATTATTAAAGAAATATTTTATTAATATTATTATTTTAAATACTGCCGTTATTATATATTATTGCTTTGTTTTTCAAAATTATTATTATTATTATTCAGCTTTCTATCCTTCAAAGCCTTGACGCCCCCGTATCTTCCAGGTTTTTATTTTTTTTTAATGTTAAACGTTTTCTGTTTCATATATTATGTATAAAAGCCATAAAGGAATGGACCTTTTTCTTCATGACGATACTTATGAGCAAAAGCAAATGCGGAGAAACTTATTGTTTGATGTTTCTGCTTCAGATATAAAAAATGTAACGAGAATGATATATAATAATGATAGTATATATACTAATTATACATAATAATAATGTTTATATATCACAACTCTAATTTATTTTTTGCTACTCCATCATTTTTCATAATTTTTATTTTTTTAATTTACATTTGTTGGCTCTGTTTACACGGATCATAAGAATAATAAATAAAGAGCTTTATTTGATTGGTAACTAAGCGCTGTAAATACAATTTTAACTTTTTTTATTGGATATTATAGTTGAAATAAAATAATACTTTTTTATCAAAGTATTGAAGTTTTTTGCATAAGCTTTACAAGTTCTTTAACTATAAATATGATATTGGGCAATTGTTTGGCAAGGTTACCAATTATTACATTCAGAGTTCATAATAATATTTATAAAATCATTTTTTGGTTTCAAATAGTGATATTTTTTCTTAAGGGTTGCTTAAATAACGTTGAGCTATTTAACTTTTTAGCGCATACATTATTTTTTGTTATGTTTTTAGCTTTCGTATCAGCGCAATTTTATTGGTTATACTATTACGCCAGATTTATAAATTTTTAGGTGAACGATTGGAGTTAGCGATAGTTAAACTTCTTTTTTTAAAGTTTATTCTATTGACTGTATTATTTTAAATTAATCAGTTTTTAATTCTTTAAAACACGTGCGTTTTTGGATCGAACAACCTTTTCAACTTTTGATATTTAGCATATTTAATTGCCAGGAAAAAATTAACGAATTTTTGTAATTATGTTATTGGCTGCTTTTTCATAGCTCCTATTGAGTAACAGGAAAGACCACTTTAAGGCAGTTTAGTGCATTCTAATAGGCTGATTTATTTTAATTTAATTGCTCACAACTAATCTTATTAGCTAAACTGAATTTTAAAAACGTTTTAGCATTTTTGGTCGAATCAAAACCCCTTAAAGCGGAAAAATAGTAATTTTAATTAGCTACTTGCTAACTTTGAAACAATTTTGTATAAAATTATTTGTAAATTTATTTGTGAAGAATTTTTTTTCAATTATAATTGTTTGCTGGCTTTTTATATAAATTTACTTCTCTATAGTTCTTCTTGAAGGTTTTTATTAAAATTTCTACTTTAATTTGTTTTATTTTTCATTTTAGTCTTTATTAATTTTTTAAAAAATCACTTGTCAATTTTAATTTTATAACATTTCATATTTTTTTATAGGTGGCTGACGAAATTATTTGTTCTGGTTTGCTAAAAGAAGCAGGAAAAGCTTCGATATGCCCTCCAGAAGCTCAAACTTTAGAATTTTTAAAAAATTGGGATTCTTTTTCTTTTTGATGGATTTTTAAAAGATTTATAAAAGTAAATAAAGGTTTACTGTTTTTTTTTTAATAATTTAGGAAACGTAAAAAGTAATTTTTTAACTAGTTTATATCTTTATAAGTATTAAATATTTTTCTTTATTTAAATATTTACTACAAAAATTAATTTCGTTCATTTTACTACTTAAAAAAGTAAAATTTATTACTTTCGTGTAATTAATAGGCGTTATACTTTTAGTTTTTTTTATCAATATATAAAGTTTAAAAATTCACAATTCTTTTTGAAGTCGTAGCACGCTTATTATATTAAATTATCATATATCATTAATAAAGTACTTTTTTTATTAGAATTTTTACTTCAAAAATATCAAATGTTAATTAAAAATTTACCTTTTCTTATTAGTAGACTATTGTTTCAACTAAAAAATCTTAGTAAAAGTCAGAATTTTTTTGTTGCTTAGCTTGAAATAAGTTATATTTTAGTATAACTGCCGACCTTATAATTAGAAATTATTCTTTTAGAGGACTCAAAAGACTAGCAGATTTAAGCTTAAAGTTAATTTATTACTATTTAAAATTATTATATTTAAACTTTATATATTCAGAAATTTATTGTTCACTTATTCTTATTCATTTAAATATTTTTAAAACTAATTTTGGCGTTGAAAAAAGTTGATATGAACTTTGAGTTTCTTATAAATTTCTGAAACGAGGTGCGCAGTACTTTATTCAATTTATTAATATTTTATTTTTAATTTTTATTTTATTAATTTATTTTTTTATTTTTTAAGAGTTTTATTTTGTTTGCATGTTTTTTCTTTAATTATTGTTTTAAATTTTAAAAATACAACGCATTATGTCTACAATAGTTATGTAATGACTATACCTTTTTTACCAATAGGTAGTGTAAGTCTTTTTTTCTCGCTTAACTAACATAGACATACTGCTTTTACCCTAAAGCAAACATCTAATGAAAAGTTTAAAGTGCAATTAAATTTAACCTAAAAGCGAACTTGATCGCTTACTACTGAAAATAACAATTTTTTTTAATATACAAATGAAACGCCTTATCATTACACTATAAATACTTTAAACGCAAGATTATAGAAAAATATTACTCTGTTGAGCAGCATAAATATTATATAAAAGACAACGATAGCCGCATTAGCCAATAATTCAAAGGAAGTCTCGAAGAAAAGCAGGTTATCAATTTGATTGGCAGCAGTGTTTTACTTCACATGTTAGAGGTAAAACTTGACTGAAATAAATTTCGTTAGGAACTAGCTATTACCTTCAAAGATTGGTATTTCAGTGCTTTTCCCCAGTCATTTTAAGTTCTTGCTAGAGCAATAAGTTAGCCCTGAATTAAGCAGCTGAGGAAAAGATCAGAAGGCTCCAGTCTGTGTTGCCGTCTTGAAGGGTAGCTCCCCACTTGAGTAAGTTGTTTCGTTAGTGCGATAGCTTTTAGAGTCTTGCAGTATTACTAAAATTACTCGGGGTCGCCATTTAATCTAAGAATAAAGCTGAACAGGGTCTTTTCGTCCTTTGTTAATTCTTATGTATTTTTACATAATTACTCTTTCATAGGAAGACTATAGTTCATATACATTTTCTCTCCTCACAGCTAGTAAACAGTCCTACGTTTTAAACTATTTTTAATCATATGTTTCCTAGAAAACTTAATTCTTTTTGAAGCTCTATCTTGAAAAGATCTGTTTCCATAACCAATCGTTTTACTGGATTCTATTTTGGCTTATAAATTTAGACGGTTTAAATCTTTATCTTTTGAATACTAAAGCCTTTATATAAGGCTTACCTTAAGATGATCGCTGTACTTCGCTTCTAAGTTAGAATCACTTTTTTCCAGGATTTAATGCAACTCCTACCTCAAAGTTTATTCCTTTATTAGTGAGCACTGGCCTTCCAATGTATATTATAATTTATAATCTCATAACCGCACTTTCTTAAAAGTACAATCGTTACGTTTGGTAGTTCGTAACCAATTTCGTTATAGCTTACCATCACTTAAGCTTCTTTTACTTCCACCAATACAATAAAAACTTACTTTTTGTTTATTTTTGAATAAACGCGTAATTCTTAGCTTAACCTTACGTTAAAACTGTTAAATGTCATAGGGGCCTAAATCAAAAGACATAACTTTAACTTCATAGTGAAATTAATTACATAATTATATAAACCATAAAGATTTTATTTATTTTAAGCGAGTTACCAACAATAATTAGCGCGAAACCTTAAACTATGGCAATCATATATTCCAGTTTGGACTCAATCTTCTGTAAATTTCTTTAGGTCGAATAAAACTTCCTTTATAATTTTTTCTCACAATTCCCTTAACATTATAAAATTCTTTTCTATTGCATTTTTTATATTAAAAATAGCTTAACTCTTATTTTCACATATCTTTATTTCAAAGTGGGCTTCAAGCAGGTAAAAAATAAAAGTTTTGAAAAATTGGTATATTATTTATCATAAGATATATAATAAAAAAGTTTAATTAAATATTAAAAGACACTATTAGTTTATATCAGATAACAATAATATACTTTTGAAAATTAGTTTGTTCTAGTAATACAATGGGGTTCTACAATAGAGAATACTCCTTATTTCAGGATAAAAGTAAGGTTTGTATGCGTGCTAACAATAAGGTTAATAAAAGATAATTATACGCTTTTCTTATTAAAAACATTGCTGTTACCTCCCACCTTCACTATTTAAACAAAAAGTTTTTTCTAAGCTAAAATTTCATAAAGTTATTATTGAATTTTCCGTAAAATGAAGCTAATTCACTGCTTAATTATTATTTATAATAGAAAAAGCTTTAGTTTTTTATTAACTATTAAATATAAGAATTATATAAACTTAAAAAATATTTATGTTTTAGAAATTCATTTTTGTAATTATTTTACCTTAAATGCTTAAACTTGCATTTTTATTTGCTTTAATTCGCTTTTTTTAGGGTAACTAGTATTTACCAACTTTCGCTACTTGTGTCCCTAAGTTTGAGCGCAGCATCTTTTAAAAAGAAATTATATAATAAAGCTTTGAACTGAACTATCAATGAAGCGCTCTAAAGTTTTCGAATTTGAACAAAATGATAATAATTTACTACTTGACCCATCATCGCACTGTTTATTTCCAGTTGTTAAGATGAGGAAAATAATGAAAAAGGAATCGGGTTATAATATTAGCAAAGATGCATCTTTTGCTCTCTCCAAATCATTAGTACTATAGATTTTACTATTAATTTTCTAAAAAAAAAATATATAAATTAGTAATATATATTTTTATCAACATATTATAGGAACTGTTTCTGTTTAACTTCTTATCGGGTTCTTTATTGAATGCGCGCGAGAATAAACGAAAGACTATTCAATATAGAGATCTTGGTAATTTCCTTAACTATAAATTTTTTTTTCTTTAAAGCTTTTATTAATTAAATATAGCAAAATTGGTGGCTACTCAGCAGCGTTTTGAATTTCTTTCAGGTTGCTTTATATTTAATAAAATTTTTAGCATTAATATTGCACTATTTAGTAAGTGAACACTTTTTTACTGGTAATAGCAAAAAAAAAAAAATAATTAATTCTTTTTTTAATTTTATTATTTTGAATGGAATTGTTTTATAAAAATATTATTTTATTTAATAATTATAAATCTTTCATTTATGAAAACTAACTTTATATAAACTTACTTTTTAATTATTATTTTCTTTTTTTAATATTAGCTCATTAAAAAAAGTTTACTTTTTATCTTTTTAAAAAAGCATGACTCTATATATATACATATTGATCTTAATTATTAGGACTTTTTTAAAAATTAGTTATTAAATTTGATAAGTTATGAATATTCTAAGTAATAATTATGCGGTGTTAAGGGAACAATCTTCTTATTACATAAATAATAATAAGTATTGGACTTTTATATGTACAAAAATAATTTTTAATGAAAAATAATTAAAATAATTTATATTAAATCTAAAATTTTGTAGTAATAAATAGTTAAAAAGAAATTATTAACTTACCAAATTAAATTTAAAAAAAGATAATTTATAATATGGAATAAATTTTCTCAAAAAAAATTATATATAAATGAATATAATAAAAACAAATTTATAGCTAAAGAAAATTTGTAATGTGTAAATAAATTTTATCATTTTTACTTATAAAAATAATTTTTATTATATTTTTTAAGAATTATTATATAATTGGTTTTTAAAAAATATTATACTTTATAAATAAAAATTTAAAATATAAATAAAATAAATAAATAGTTAACTTTTCTTATATATAAAACTTATAATACAAGATTTATAATATTGTTAATATTATACTGTTATTTACTAATAAATGAGTTAGTATTTAACCTTTCATAAAAAATTCGAATATAAAATTTTAATGAAAATAAAATTACTAATAAATTATATAACTTACAGTAAAATTATTAAATATTAAATTAATATAAAAAAATTAAAATATTTATATAAAATTTTTTTATATATATATTTTCATGAACTTTATTATTTTTATAAATTATATTTTTTTTTAGTGTTTTTACCAGAAAAAGTGCTTGCAATGACGATTATGTAAATTTATGAATTAAAAATTGAATTCACTGAATTTATTAATTAAATTAAAATTAATAAAATAATTACTTTTACATTGTAGAGAAAAGCATTTTTTAAGATTTAATAAATTATTGTTTCTTTGTTTCTATACTTTAAAAATGGAAAGAAATTATTTCTTTCAAGTTTTTAAACCAAACTTAAGATTAATTACTTTAAAAAAGTTTATTGAAAAGAAATTTAAAATTTTTATTTTTATTTTTAAATATTTCAAAAATGAAAAATCAAAGTTATTATATAATTCTAATATTTAAATATTAAGAAAATTTTTGAATACTATATTTGAAAATATTTTGGTTTATAAAATTTTATAAAAATATTATAGTAAGAAAAAAAAATAATTTATATATTAATAAATATATTTAATAATAATATTATATTATAGCAAAAAAAAAATTACAATATTTCAATTAAAACTATTAACTTATAATAAAAATTAAAATTCAATCATTTTTTAATTACTAGCATTAATAATCTTGTCCTAATTTTTTTAAAGTTGTAAATATATAATATTAGAACTTTATTAAGTAAAGTCGTATTCTATTATCTTTTCAATAATCTATTCTAAATTTGTATTATTTTTTAATTTTAAATTTATTTTTCCACAACATAGAAAAGTAGAATTAGTGATATAATGTATTACAAAGTAACATTTTCTAGTTATTAAAATAATAACTGAATAATTAAAACAAACTAAATTTATTAAAATGAATTAAAGTAAAAATTCAATTTTTTAAAAGTATTAATTAACAATCAAATTTTTTGGTAAGTTAACGATGCGATCGTGAAGTCCAACAAGGGAGGACGGATAAATATATTCACCAATAGAATTAAATTTAAAACTTTATAAATTTTTTGTTATCACCATCAATGAGCAGGAGCTTACCCTATAACAAATTTATGAATTTAAAATGTTAACAAAAGGTTTTTCAAATTACCATGTTTAGGAGAAAAGTTCAAAAAATATTTATATAAGGCTAATACATGAATCAATATTATGGCGCTTCAAAGAAAGTTTAATGAAACTCTCCCCTATTGTTACTATTAGCGATATGAAAATAGTATATTAAAAAAACATATTTAATGGAAATAATTAAATTAAAAGCAATATATCAAAATAAAGTATTTATAACGCAATCCGAAATTGCTAGCAAGTGGTACTATTAGTCAAGAAAAAGTAAATTGTGTTTAACCTATAAATTCGGTGCATTATCTGTTTGTAAGTCGATAAGCATTTTGAACTGCATACTTGCATCATCGAGTTTTTAAACGCGTCTTGCAAGCTTGGTGCTTTTTTACCAGTAAATTATTCTTTATATAAAAGTTTCTTTATTTTTTTTCCCTAAATAAAAAAATTTATCTACAATTAGGTGTGTTCTCACACGATGATGTACTTTGCATCTATAAACCAATCCAACATATTATAACGTTAGTAATATGCGCGAGCAAGGGGCGCATTAAACTGAAACAACGTCTAGCAAAAGAATTTTGGTGCTACTCTTACCTGTCTTTTATTATAGTCGCTACGGTTGAAGCTAAGAACTACGTGAAGCGGAGGTTTTAATCTGGCTATTAAAAGTTAAATATATATAGAGAGAGTAGCTTACTAATAACTTATCTAACAACTTATTACCATTTATTTCCTTGAGGCGAGCTAAGAAAATATCTATCTAGCTGTTTTAACAATAATGCTTCGTGTTATTAGTAATCCTTTAAAGCACAAGAGTTTATTTTGTTCTTTTGTTTGGTTTTGCTTTGAGTTTTAATCAATTATTAATCTCCGCAGACCAAAATGAACTACTACAAGACAGAGAAGCATGAAATTGGAGAAGGTCCCATAAATCTTAGTGTATATGTAAATATATATGGTCCACTAGTGCAATAATCATACGTTTTTAAGAACAAATGGCATTTATGTAATCTCCGTTAATTTGGTGGGCCTAGTCTAAATCTTCCCTTACTTCATTGAGAAATTATGTCTTGTTTCGGGTTTAATTATAATAAGTTCTGCTTAGCAATACCTAGGTGCGTCCAAAGCTACGGGTATACTTCTATAGACCAGAGACGGGTGCAGCACTGTTTGCATTGATTTTGGTTGCATTCGTACTCGTTTTAGTTGGTGCTCTGATTATAATAATTTGTTAATGCTAATTCCTAGAGCTCCGACATAGTTATAGTAGTAATACTCATGAATAACGCTATTTTTTAGTACATAAAAAGTAAAGCTCGCGGCTCCCACACGTGAAAAGTTATTGTTGTCAAGCAGTTTTATATGAAATCAATCTAATATAACCTATAAAAAGAGTTGGTAGCATTGTACTACTTGTATATCTGTTAAATTTAATTGTTTATAGTAAAGTTTTTAGAAAGTTTAAATATTTTCACCCTTTCATTGCTGTCTTACGCCTGAGGGCATTTCATATTGCTAAATTATTGCAACTTATTTTAAAATTTAACTTTTATTATAATAATACCCAAATTATATAACGGTTGAGATTATGAATTGCTACAAACATATAATATTTATCACTTCATTTGCTTAAAAGAAACTTGAAGATTTTTTTCTCCTAATCTATAACCATCCAGCGCTTGAATAGCGGCTTGTGCTTGTTGGTAATCAGACATATTTACAAAACCATAGCCTTTGCAATTTTGATTTTCATCTTTAACAACCTTAACGTACATAAAAATGTTAAGAACTACGTAAAAAATTTTCTCTTATTTTAAGATATAATAATTAAACATAAAAGTTATATAACCTTTACGGAAACAACGTGGCCGAAAGGCGAAAAAAAATTATATAGAAAAGTATCGTCTGTTTGCGCAGGCAAGTTATAAACAAACAAGCACCACAAATTAGGTGGCAATTGAGTATAATACGTTTGTCCTATTATTAGTTTATACTATGTCAGCTTATAAACTTTAAGTGATCTTTTTTAAAAAAATTTCTTTTCACCGCCTAGAAGTCCGCTGTACGCTGCTTGAAGAGAATTATCCCCCGAAGAATTCGTATGAGATGATAGAAGTTGATATGGCCAAGCTGTTCCTGGGGTTGTGTAATAGTAGTTTCCTATAGCGGTTGATACTAACAAAAAAAAATTGTTTTCGAACGGCCGTATATAATAAGCATATATAATAATAATATAAAACCAAGCTGCGAGTAACTACTGGCACCTCTTTGCAAATAAAAATTGTTTAAAGAAAATTTATTCGAATAATCTTCGGCAATTTTTACTTTAAGCGGAAAAGTACCGCCTAAAAGTGCGCGATAGAGAAAATAAAAGGCAGACTACTAACCAGCCCAAAAAAAAAGGAATCGATTTAGAGGCTCTACGAAAATGTAAGACCTGCAGGAGTAAACCCGTTCATAGCTAAACAAGCTCGCTCTGCTTCGCTTTTTAAGCTAAAACGTACGAAGCCTACACTTCGTTTATCCTGCGTTACTGGATCTATTAATATTTTACTTTCTATGATTGTCCCAAAAGAAGAAAATAATAATTCCAAATCAGATTTTTCAAAAATCTATAGTGTTGGTTGCCAAGCAATATAATTTATAAATATAACAATTATGAGAAATAGTAGTAGCTGTAAAACTTTTACTTTTGGTATATTCTGGATGTATAGGTTAGATTTTTTGGTTTCTTCTGTATTTTTTCTCGCGAAAGAAACTTTAAGCGTTTTGTTTCTTATTTTAAAACCATTGAGACTATCAACCGGGCGGATTTAATAATAATAATATAATAATAACAATAATTATAATAATTATAATAATAATTTGGTCCCTAACAAGTTAATGGCTGCCTTAGAATGTTCCGGTGAAAGCATCTTGACAAAAGCGTAACCCAAACTAACTTGACCTTTCCTAACAATTTTGATGGATTGGACAACCCCACACTGGTCAAAAAGCATTTTCAATTCGCCTTATATTATTTTTGTTAAAGAAAATACAATAATTATGCTACAATTCAGAACAAAAAGGTAGTAAATCTCTAAACAAAAATATAATTATAATACTAAATTATTATAAGAAAATAGTTTTTGTATATAATAAAGTTTTTATTATTTAATGACTTTTATAATATCAATTAAAAATGATAGCAACTTTCCTATAAATAAAAGTTGTTTAATACTTCATTCCATATTAAATTATTAAAAAGTAAGGAGTTAAGAACTAAAGAAAGGGCATATAAAAACCTTCACGCATATCTTGAGGCAAATAATTGACAATAAGTGTCCCTTCCTCAAATTCACTTGACAGACTTTGCATCATTAACTTAAAAAAAACTAATTATGTTAAAAATTTTAATTTACTTAACAATAATATTTGGAAACATTTTCACAATAGTGCAATTGAAAAAATGTCTGAGACGCTAAAATTTAAAAAAGAGCCAATAAACATGTGACCTACACTCTACTCCCATTTTTTTGTTTTTTAACTTTTTTTAACTTTCGTATCTGCGAGGGGGGGAATTCTGTATTAGTTATATTGTTTTGTTATGCCAGAAAAGAAAGTTTCTAAAAAAGTTAGCTTTTGCGTAAGTTTCCACGTCTAAAGAATATGCTTAAAAGTTTTTTTTTTGTAGCAGTTTTTATTTTCTATTCATGTAAATCCAATTGTTATTATTTAAAACTTTTAACCTAAGCAATTTTGTTTTTTTTAATTTTTAAAATTAAAAAAGAATTAGTGGATTTAGTAATTTATTTATTTACTATATATATTCAGTCTACTTTTTTTTTCTTTATTTATTTTTTCTATAAATATTGAGCTTCAACTTGTGTTTTATCTTTTATAATTTTATCTTGAGAAATTTTGACTAAAGTGAAACTAATTTATTTGATTTAGTCAAATTGTAACATCCATTTGCTGTTGTTATTTATTTACTTTTAATTTCTTTTATTACTATTTAATATATGTAGTGTAAGCATATTATTAATAAAGTATTCTTATATACAAGTATTAGAATTATAACTATTTTTTTAGACCGTAGAAGATGAAGCTTTTCCGCAACATTCTATTAAAACTCTCATCTTTAAATCGCTAAAACGGTTTTTTATTATTATTTATTTAATTGATTTTACTAATTAATTTTTTTTAGTTCTCACGACATGTTTTTGTCTGAGTATCATTCTTCTTCACCTATCGATGAGTTAAGGTTTTATAATTTTAAATTATTCTATAGCAAAATATTTAATAACTAATAAATTATTAGCCAGAAAACGAAGATTTTTGCAAAGATTTTGGGTGAATATCAACATGTAAAAGATAAAATTGTTGCTGATGAAGTTCAAAATGTAGACAATTCTGAAGTTATAGTGGAAAAGCAAAGTATCCTTTTAATAAATATTGTATATTGTTTTATCTTTAACGTTTATTGATTTTGGATACTTATTAGAGCCAAGCGAGTTGGCTGATCTTGATATTAAAGTAGAAGTTGAAGGAAGCTCCAAAAAATTTGACACTGAACCTGAATCTTCATCTTCAAGTCTTGTAAAAGTTATTGATTCTGTAGTATCTGCCCAACCTTTAAAGTGAAGAATTTTTGTTACTTTAGTAATTATATTAATCTTCAATTTTTTGTTAATTATTATAGTATATGAATTAGTTATTGTAATTAATTTAATTATTTTATAAAAGTTTTATAATTTTTAAAGTATTAACTAAAATTATATTAATTTATTAACTTTATTATAATATTATTACTTTAAATGTTCTTATTATTGATAATGAATTTTTTTTACTGTTAGCTAATATAATACAGATTTGGTGCAAGTGTAATATATAAAAATTTTACAAATTATTTACTACATATGTAGTATTAGAGACTTTTTATGTATTACTTTTTATTTTATTTTATATTAATAAAGTTAACAATACTAATTCCAAAAATTTTAATTTTTTGTTAGTTTAATTTTTTAATGAAATTTTTTGAAAAGTTATTATTTACTATAACCTAATTTTTTGTAGATTAATATTATGCATAATGCTAATACTAAAAAAATTAGCATTTTATTTAATTATAATTTTTATTTGTTTGTTTATTTTTTTTCTTGAGATTTATTTTATATTTATTTTTATATTAAATTAAAATTTTATTTTAATATTAACGCTAAAAAATTATTTGTTAATTTTATTTTTTATTTAAAGAATAATAACATTATTTTATATACTTAATTTTAACTTTTACTATTATTAACAAAAAAATTAATTTTTTATTGTTTTATAATTATTATTTGTTAATTTCATTTTTTTGTAAATATTGTTTAATAGATTTATATAGTATAATTTTATTTTAATTTTGTTAAATTAATTTTTTATAGTTTTAGATTTTTATTTATACTATTTTAGATTATATTATCATACTCAAACTATATTTTTATTAGTAAATTTATTGTTTAGAAATTTTTATTATTCTTAATTTATATACTTTAGTAAATAGTAATACTATTAATTTAAAAAATATTTTTTTGGTTTAAAATTTTTATCTGTTAATTTCTTGTTACTTAATTTTTCATTAAACTAGTTTATACATTTTAAATAAATAATAACGATAACACAAAAATAATTAATTTTATAATAATTTAAAAAATATATAACTATTTTTATTGATTTATAATTTTTATATGTTAATTAATTTTGTAAATTTTATAAAACTAATTAACATAAATTATTATTTAATTGAGTTCCAATTTCTTTTGTTAGTTCAATTTTTTATGATTTTTATTTTTTTTATTAAAACTGTATTATATAATATTATTTTACTTAATTTAATCTGTAATAATAACAAAAAAAAGTTTTTTTTCTATTGATTTATAACTTTGTTAATTTCTTGTTTTTGTAAATTCATATTCCTAGTTAATATATAATATTATTAACCAAATTAATTTTTTATTGATTTATTATATTTTTTTATAAGTTTATAATAAAATTAACAAAGAAATCAATTTTTTTATTGATTAATTTTAATTTGTTGATTTTTATAATTTTTAAATTTTGTCAATCTACTTTATATAGTATTACCTTCTATATGTTTAATATATACTAATTAATTTCATTTTGCTTTATTAATTATATTTAATTTAATTTCTATAAAAACTATTTATTTTATACATTTTTATTGATTTATAATTTTTATTTGTTATTTTAATATTTGTTTAAAATTTCATATAACTAATTTATATAATATTTTTTTTTAATACAATATATACTATTTTTAAAGTTAAGGTTTCATCCCCAGTTCTATAGCCATATACTAGATTCGAACTAACTTTTGATTACAAAACAATTTCTTTACCTTTAAGCTGATTCATTATTCCTAATGATTTTCGAAGTGACTTTGAGCTTTAACTCAGTCACTTCTATTTTATTATATGTAAAAGCTTGAAACTTTGATGAATGCTTTCTATTAGATTTTTTTAGTATAAGAAAACCACTATATTACTGATTTATAATTTTTATAGAATATATTTAAAATTTAAGTAATAAATAAGAAGTTACTAAAATACTTTATTTTATAAAAATAATAAAGTAATACAATAAATAGTAAAAAATAAATTAAAGTTAATAGTAATATAAAATAAGCAACAAAAAGTTTTTAACTATTTTGAAAATTTTTTAAAAGATTTTATTTTTTTTGGTTTATAGTTTTTCTTTAATTTTATTTCTTATGGTTTCTGAAATAATGTTAACACTAAAAAATATAATATTTTATTTAAATTATATATATAATAAAAACAGGAAAAATTATTTATTTATTGACTAACTTTCTTTTAAGAAGTAGCAAAATTATTACATTAAGATTTAACTAAAGAATTAAATTTAATTGAAGATTACTCAAAACGGTTTTAACTAGTTTCTAAATATTATTTCTAATAGCAGTAGATTTCAAACTTTTTAGTAATTATAAACTAAATTAAAAAAAAAATTTCAAATATTTTTTGTTATTATGGACCAATGGTGCTAATAAAAAACTTAATATAATTAATAAAAATTATTCTAAATTTTCATTAAATAATGCAAAATTATACACTATAATTTTTTTTCACACGTAAATTTTTTATTTAGAAAAATCAAGTCCAGTGCCGTTGCCACATTCTCTGAAAATAAAGAGCTGGCCACTCGACCACGTGCTGCTCCTTTTACTCCAAAGCCCCAATTTCATCCACATTGGAAACTATATCGCGTACTTTTCTTCTTTGGTTGTTTTATTTAATTTGCTTTTGGGTTTTATAGTGTTTTTTTTAATTATTATTTTTATTATTTTCTTTTGAAAATATATTGGAAATATTTATTATTTTGTTCATTGAAGTTCAATTTTTAAAAAATTATAATTACTTTATAACTTTTTTACAATAACAGAGTTTCCTATAATAAATAAAGTAAAATATCGCAAACTTTTTATAAAGAAATAAAAAAAAATTAAAAATGAGTTCTTCTAAGAAATTTATTATGCCGGATTCTATTCGCAACTAAAAAAAATTTTTATTTAAATTTATTTTTTAGATTTTATATTTTCTATTTATTTTTTTTCCTTGTTATTATTATTATTATTTTAAAATTATAACTAAATTATGTTACAGTCTTGTTTTTTAAAGGATTTTAATTCTATAAATTATTTATTATCATAAAAACTAATTTTTAATTTTTTTTAACTAATTAATTCAAATTTTTTAATTGTTTAATATCTTTTTATTTATACATAAAAATTCTTGAATTTTATATTTTTAAGTTTAAATATTTTTAAGTATTTTTTAGTTTTTTACTATTACTATCTTTATTTTTAAAAAATATTTTGAAATTTTTGTATAGTTCTGTTTTTAGATTTTTGGTATGAAAATTATTTTATAAATATTTTTGGTTTTATTATTCAACTTTTACTTAATATTGTTATTTGCACTTCAATTTTTAAATTTTCTTTGTTTTTTTTTTTTTTCCAGTTTTTTAGAATTTTATTCAAATTGTAAATAAATTTATTTTGATAAATTATTAATATGGAAAGAAATATTAAATAAAAGTTACTTATTCTTATTTTTTAAATTAAATTATTATAAATTCTTTATTTAAAAAAAAATATATTTTGTTTGTACGTTTTTTTTGTTATTTTATTTTTTTAAAGAGAAAGGTTTTTAAAGTTATAATATTTTTTACAGAATTTTTTTTAAGGTATTTTTTCATTACATTTTTTTTATTGATGTTTGACTCATGTATACTGCCAGTCCTTTTTTTAAAGAAATTATATTTATTCTATAAATTTTACTTTTTTAGTTAATTTATTTATTATGAATTTCTTTTTTATTGACTTCATGTATCTTATGCCTTTATTCGTTTTTTCTTTTTTAACTTTGAATTTTTCAAAAGCTTTATTACTTAAAGAGACCCTTTATACTTAACATCATTTGCTCTTATTACTAATAATTAGTTATTTTGTTAAATATTTTAAGGGTTTACTAAATTTCTTATAAAAGATTTATTTTTTTTAATAGTATTTTGTTAATTTTATTTATACGTTTATTTTTATGTCATTTATATTTTAATTGGCTTTTATACTACATTAAAACATTTTAGTTTTTGTTATTTTTTCTAAAAAATTTGTCCTATTTTAATTATTTTGGTATATTTTTATTCAATCTATATAATGAAATTAATTTTTTGTAGTATTTATTCTTATTTAATATTTTCATTATATACAAATACTGCATATAAGTTATTTCATATTTAGTTTATAAAACGTTTAACAATTTTTTAGTTTATAATGTTGTACATTTTATATCCTACTTTTATTGACTTTTATAATATTCATTTTTAAGCATAATAATTTTTTTACACGTTTTATTTTTTTTTAATGACTATTAAATTAGTATTAATTTTTTAAGGAAAAAGAAAATTTTTTTTCTAATTTTTTTTTAAATTGAATATTTTTTTTTAAATAATAAAGTTTTTGTAGGTTTTTACGATTTTAATTATTATGCTTTTTATTTTTATATTTATTGACTTTTTGATTTTAGTTTTTTTTTTAACGAAATATTTTTTTAATAATAAGTTTTTGTATATTTTACGATTTATATTTTGTACTTTTTTTTATTGTTAATTATCTTTTTTGATTGTTTTAAAATTTTTTTCCTTTAAAAAACCTAATAAATTTTTACTAATTTTATGTTATAAAATTTTTTAATAGTTTTTCATTCTTATTTTGTTATTTATCACAAATTCTTTGTTAGTTACTATTTTTTACGTCATAAAATTTTCTTTTACGTTTTATGATTGTTTATTATTTTTATTGCCTTTTCTTTATTTTTATAAAATTTTTTAGCTTTTAAAGAATTCTTTTATATACAATAATTTGGTCTAAATCCTAATTATTATATATTATAGTACTAATAATGTCTATTTAAATTATTTATAAAATTTATTTTTCAAATAATTTTTTATTTTATTAACATAATTTTTATTTCAGTTATTTTTTCATTATTCTTTTTTCTTATAATAGTTTTTATAATGGTTATTTCTTTATTTTCTTTTTTTAATATAAAAATTTTCTTTTACGTTTTATCATATTATTTTTTTCTTCTTTTGTTTTTCTAATTGCCTTTTTTTATTTGTTAAAGTCCTTCTAGCATTTAGTAATATCTAACTAATTTTTAATATAACTGTTTTCATATAAAAATTCATTTTATAAGAAAAATTATTTAATAATAAAAAAGTTTAATATATCAAATAATTATAAATATAAGTTTGTTAGTTTTACTTTTGCATTACAAAATAAATATAATAAATAATAATTATATATTCACAATGTACGATTATGACTTATTCTAATAATTGCTGTTATAAAAAAAGTTTAATATTATAAATAATTATGAATCAAAGTTTAAAAACAAATAAAAGTATTAATATTAATAATGAAATATAGTAATTATTAATGATATTAATATAAATTTTAATATTAATTATAAAGTAGTTTTAAAAATATTAATAACACTAGATAAAATTTATAACAATTATGAATATAAAGAAAAGCTTATAATAATAATAACAAAATATATATTATTAATAAACATATATATTCTTTAATATTAATAAAATATAACCTAAATTTAAATTATAATTATAAATATTTATAGTTATAATTAAATATAGACGAAATTAATTAATAGTATTGAAATATATTTTAATAATATAAATCTTAAAAAAAATATATTTAAAATTTATATACATAATTAATATAAATATTTTTAATGATAGACAAAATCAGTTAATAATATAAAAGCAAATGAAAAAAAAGTATTAAATAATAATAATTAATAAAATATATTTGAATAATAAATTTCAATCTTTATATATTATTAAATTAATAAAAATTTAATTTTAATAAATAAAAGTTATAAATAAAAACTTAATTATTTTCAAAAATAATTAAAGTTAGTTTATTCTTATTATTAATTAAGTAAATGCATACTATATAAGTATAAAAATACACATTTCATGATTTTGTAGACTTCATATTTTTTTTCGGTTGTGAAAATTTTTTTATTGGTTTGGTTTATTTTTTAGGTAATTTCTGGTCACTTAGGTTGGGTCCGCTGTTTAGCGTTTGACCCGACCAACCAATGGTTCTGCACGGGGAGTAACGATAGAACAGTGAAGGTTATTATTTTTGTATCATTAATTATTATTTTAAAAAAGTTTTAGTAAATAAGAATATTTTATTAAATTCACTTTTTTTTTGTTATAAATTTTTTATTTTTAATAGAGAATCTAATAATTTTATTTTTATATGTACAATTATTTTTATATTTAAAAAAAGTTTTAGCTAAATTTACTTAAATAAATTTACATCTTAATTTATTTTTTTAATAGATATTAAATCTTATATATTTCAAAGTTGAAACGAATAGTTTTATATATGTATATTAATTATTAGTTATCAATAAAAATCATAATAAATTGATTCTTTTAAATTTACATCTTAAATTTCTTGGTCGACTTTATTTTTTTTTTCTATTAAAAACAGCAACATAACATTTTTGGATTTTTTACATTTAATTATTTAATATTATTAAAAGTTTTAGTAAAATAAAGTTATTCAGTTCATAATAATTATGTATACTTTTTTAATTAGTAAAAAAAAAAAATAATAATTTCTGTTAATTTTATTTACTTTATTATCAATTTTTACTTATTCTATTACTTATTTCTTTTGGTACATTTTGTTATTAATACCATAAAAAATAATTAATATTGAAATTATCTATTATTGTTACCATTTATTAATCTATTGCAGTTTTTTATTAAAGTTTTTATTTTATTAAAAGTTAAACTCGTGCGAAACTTTATAGTAAATTTCTTATTTTTATTATTGATATTTTTTTTATTATTTATAAAAATAAGAATTATTTTCACTTTATAGTGAATTTATAATTATTTTAATAAATTTTTAACTTTTATTGTTATTATTTTTTAAGGTTTACTTTATTATTATTATTATTATTGATATTATTATTTTATAAAATAAAAATTATAATGACTTTATATTGAATTTTTTATTATAATACATTTAACTTTTATTATTATTTTTCGAAGTTTTTTAACTATTATCGTTATTATTATTTTATTATTAATTAGCTTTTTTTTATAATTAAATAAAATATTTTTAGTAACTCTATGTTTTCTTAATTATTATATAACTTTTTATATTATTATACCATATTATTAAGAAATTTATATATTTTTATAATATAACATTTCTAGTAAACTAAAATTCTTTTTATTATTTTACTATTAATATTTATAAGAAATATATTTGATATTTATATTTCTTTCAGTATTTAAATATATTTATTTTAACTTTTACTTATTTTATTAAGTACAGATATTCTTCTTGTGCTCAAGTTTTTTAAAATATATAATCTTTATGTTAATATTTTACTTATTTATTATTATGACTAATTATTTTTAGAATTTTAGTATTTATCTAGTACTACTATTTTTTATTAGTATTAACCATTTTTGATATTTTATTAATCATAACTTTACTATAATTTATATAATATAAATTTTTTTAGTATTAATTTTATTATAATCATTTTAAAATATTGCAAGTTTTTTATTAAAGTCCAACTTATTGTGATAAATTTTTATTAAAAATATATAAATTTATAATACTAATAGTTTTATTATTATATTTTTAAATATAACTCATTAACTTTATTAGTCTTATAAAAAAATTTTATATTATATTAATTTTTTTTATTATTATAAATATTGTGGATTTTATAATAAAATTTTGCTTATTATTATTTATTTTATAAAAAAATCTAATTTGTTTAGTATTAAATATACATTTTATTATTATTTTAAAATATCGTGAATTATATAATAAAATATAACTAATTATTATTAATTGTATATGAAAAGTATAAATATATTTATTACTTAATATTTTCTTTGATGTTATTTGTAAATATTGTAAATTTTATAATAAAATTTATCATGATTATTATTATTTAACTACTTATTATTAACTATTATTATTGTTATTATTATTATATTGAAGTTATTATTTCTATGTTTATTCGTTTTTAATGTTATTTCTTCCACTATTGATATGGGACTTGGCCTCCGGGACTCTAAAGCTGTCCCTTACGGGACACATCTCGCACGTGCGCGGCTTGGCGGTTAGTGACAGGCATCCCTACATGTTTTCTGCTGGGGAAGACAAACAGGTAATAATAATAATAAATAGTTATAAAGAAAGTCGTATTCTTACTTTACGTAAATGATATTATTTACAAAAATAAAGATTAATAATTATACATATAATACTAATAGTAGTAATTATTTTACTAATAATACAATGAAGATAGGACAATGATAATAAAACAAATAATAGTTATAAGGAAAGTCGTACCACTTTTTTACGTTAAATATTAACTAAAATAATACTATAAATAAACAATATAATAGTAGTAATAATAATTATTATATTGATAATATTGCTAATAAATATATAATGAATAATAATAACAACAAAAAGAACATTAATAATTAATTTTTTATCACGTGTAGGTCAAATGTTGGGACCTTGAGTGTAATAAAGTTATACGACACTATCACGGTCACCTGCTCGCTGTGTACGACGTTTGCATCCATCCTACCCTCAATATAATAGTGACGGCCTCTCGTGATGCCACTTGCAGGGTAAGAGGGCTTTTTTATTGGGAGATAAACTATTTTACTTTATGATTGACTGCAGGTTTGGGATATGAGAACGAAGGCCTGCGTCCACGTGCTTACAGGGCATAACGGTGTCTTGAATTTTTTACTATTAATTTTTTATTTCTGATTATATTTTTAGTATTTTCATTATTTTTTTATGAAATTTATTAGATGCTGTTTTAAAAGTTGAGGTTCAAGCTGTGAATCCACAAGTAATTACGGGCAGCATGGATAGCACCGTGAAGTTTTGGGATCTCGCTATGGGAAAGTAACTGTCATTATTGTTATTATTATTCACTATTATTACTGTATAATTTCTTTAGGGCTATAACTACGCTGACCAATCATAAGAAGTCTGTAAGAGCTCTCCAATTGCACCCATCCGAGTAAGAATTTTAGTATTTTTTTGTTATAATATGAATTTTATTATTATTTTTTATTTTTAAAAAACTTTGGAATTTCTTTATTATTTTTAATTTTTTTTAAAAAAGATTTACTTTTTTGTCCGGCTCAGCCGATAATATAAAGAAGTGGAAGTTTCCACGTGGAGATTTTCTTATGAATATGGACAAAAGCAACAGTATAGTCAACACGCTTTCTATCAACGACGACAACGTCCTTGTGGCCGGAGGTTGTCACATGGAGACTTCCATTTTATCCAATCAGACGTTCTTTGCCTAGCTGATAATGGCTTCATGCATTTTTATGACTATAAAACTGGTTATAAATTTCAAGAGTTCCGCACCCCGCCGCAGTCCGGCTCGTTGGAGAGCGAAGCGGGCATATACGCCGTATATTATTATTGTTATTATTATTATTATTTGGTTGTATTTCTCATTTTTTTTCAACCCTTATATGCAAAAGTAAAAGAAGTCAACTTTTATTAAAATTTTTCATGCGCGAGTTTTATATGTAAAATATTTACTAATTTCTATTATTAATTTATAATCTTTAAACTTTTATTTATTGAATAATATTTATTTATTATAATTTTATTGGCTATATATTTTTTTTATTGTTTTCATTGGTTTACTTTTGCTCTACTTTTATAAATTTTATAATTGAAAAATACTTTATTGACTTTTTATGTTTATCTTTTAATGAAAAAATTTTTAAATATGATTTTTTTCCCTTCATAAAATATTATGAAAATATGTATATATTTATCAGTGAAACTTAACTAATTTTTAGGTTCACTTTTTTTAAGTCAATTCGATTGGCTTATATTTACATAATTTTATAGATACGTTAATTTTCTAGCATACTTTTAGTATTAATTTCATTGGCTAAAAAATTTAATTTGCTTTTCTTAATGAATGTTTGTTAAAAAAATAATGAAAGTGTATTTTAATAGTAAATAAGGATTTTAATCATAATAATATAATATTAACGTTTTTCTAATTATTTTTATACCTATTTGACTTCGTATACGCTTTTTTTAGTGAAAAACATTTTATGAACGCTTATAAATTGGAATATTAAAATTTTTTTTTGATGAATAAATTTTTACAACTTCCGGCTTTAATTTTTTATTTTTTTTAACTTTCATGTATTATTGGTTTAAATTTTCGTTGTTTTATATTTGTTTAATTTTGTATTTATTTTTGTTTCGAATCTTATTGATTTTTATAATTTTCATCTATAAATTTATATAACAAAATTTAAAAGTTTTCTTTATTTCTAATGACAGTTTTTTAACCTCTTGGCTTTTATCTATTATTATTTGTAAAAATATCACGTTTTTTTTCTCAATATATATACAAAAAATGTTTTCTTTATTTTTTATGAGTTAATTGATATTTGTTTCTTTATCTCTTTTATATTAGAGGTTAAACTATATATATGGTTTTTTTTAATTTTGCTTAACTTTTTATAATTATTAAATATAATATTTTTAATCTTATAATATATTTTACTGATTATAATATTTTTGAATAACATGTTTTTTTATGAAAAAAAAAAAAAGTTTTGAGTTGATATTTCCTAGATCGCTAATATTTATAGCCGTAGTTTTCTTTTAAATATTCTTGGTTTAACTTATCTATCTTTTTTTATTTAATTATTGACTTGATTTAATTTTATGGCTTTTTTTTAATGGAGTTTACTTATTTTTTTACTACAACTTATGCTTTTTTTTAATCACTATTGGTTTATATTTTATTCCCTGAAGTTTTAAGTTCCTTTTTTAAATGGAAAAGTTTATTAATTTTCTTTATAATTTTTGTTTTTTTCTTTTTGGGATATATAATATTTAATATTATGTTTATATTGTATTCGCTAAAATTTTATGTTTTTTATATTTTAAAGTTTATTATTTTTCACTACAAGTTTTTTTTTTTGCTTTTATTTTGGAATATATATATTTTTCTTCTTATTTTATATTTCGTTTACAATATTATATTACATTATTAATGAAAAAGTTTTCTAGCATTTTTTTAATACAACTTTTCTTTTTTTTTTTTTTTTGTAATATATAATTTTTGTATTATTAGTTTATATTTTATTCGTTTAAAATTTTGTTCCTTTTTTTATCAATTTATCTTTCCTTAATGATTTAGTTAATAATTTTGGCTAAATTTTTATTTTATATTCCCTAAAAATTTTAAGCCTTTTTTTAATGAAAAAATTTATTTTTTAGTTTACGTTTACTTTTCTTTTTTCTTAATATAATTGGTCTATATTTAAGTTTATTTTCTTAGTGAAGCAATTTATATAATTTTATTGATTTTTATTTATGAAACCTAAATTTCTCAATATTCTTGGCTGAGGTTTAATAATATTTATTACTGATAATTTCATTTTCTTTTTTTTTTATATAATTTATTATTTAAAAAATATATAATCTTTAATATTTTTCTCTTGCATATTTATTGGTTTATTTTTTTTATTAATTTTTTTATTGGATTAAATTTTTATGCTCTCCTTTAATGATATTTTTTTACAACTTTGGCATGAAAATTTTTTTAATATACTGAAAAAATTTATTGTAAATATTTAATAAAATTTTAAATTCGTTATTTTTTATTTTTTTCAATATTGGTTTTCTGTTAGCTTTATAACGGGTATATAAATTTTTTTTAAATCAAATATTTTTATGTAGATTATTATAACCTATAAATGTATTATTACAATTATACTATTGTAATATATATAGTAGTATGTTGTAACATTTTTTAATTTTTTTAAATTTTATAAATATAAGGCAACACTTCATATTATCATTTAAAAATTATTTTTCTTTAAAGTTTTAAAAACTTTTAAAATGGTTTATTTTTATTATTTATATATTTATAATAATAATACTTATACTTATAATGATAATAATAGTTGTCTTTTGATCAATCGGGCTCTCGTCTTGTTACTTGTGAAGCGGACAAAACGATCAAAATGTACAAAGAAGATGATAATTCGGTACTATATAATCTATTTTTGTTATTATGTGATTAGTTTGTTTCAATTAACTCAATTCTGCACCAGACGGAACAAACCCATCCAATTCATTGGAAGCCGCAACTAAAACGTGAACGATATTGAAAATCTCGAAATTGGGCGATTTAATAAAGTGTTGAGTTAAATTATTTTAAAAGGAAATAAATAAAAGAATATTTAATAAAGTTAATGTCCTTTTTCTTTCATTTTAGTTAATCTTTTATAATTAAAGTTAAGTTTAATATATATTTTACTTAAATTTACTTGTCAGTTGCATAACATTTATTATGCACAAAGTTAAGCCAATAATTTATTTTATTATTATTTTCAAAAGGTGTTAATTAGGCCACTTATTTCCTAGATGGTCTTTCTTTTTATATGTATTGTCCCATATCCAAACTTTGTCCGCTTTGCTGTATGGTTTTGCGGGAATATCGTAGGGAATCTGATTATAATAATATCAATGATACTAATTACTAATATAATAAATAATTAAAAGTAAATAACCGGTAAATTAGTTAAATTATTCTCCTGTAAATTCTGTTGGAAGAACGACTATAATAAAAGTAAATAGGATAATTGAGCAACAATATAAAAGTTTGTTAAAATTCTATTGACTTTCTCAGGATTATCTGCGTGGTGAAAAAGGACGCCAATTTCATAAGAGCGTATTATAAATTCATTTTGTTTATTGAAGCACCCCCTTCATTATTGTTAGTATAAAAATTACTATTGCATTTTTTTTATTTTTATTAACCAAGCTGATTTAGAAAGATTAGCGCTGGTTAAAATAACCCAAGAGATATGTTTTCCAGCTTCAAAGAACTTCATGTACGTCTAATTTAAAGATTGTTTACCACAGAAACTTATAAATTTTGTAATAAAAAGAATATAAAGTCCATTTTCTATAGCCGTACTTTAATATGAGGAAGAACTTTGTTTCTTCCAGAAACTTCTGCATTCCACGAGCAAAAGTATTTATATAAATAACGCTGTCTCATCTCATTTTTCCTACAGAATTATATATATATTTATAAAATTTTATTAGAAAACTTAAATATCGATATAGATATTAAAACCCGACCATGAATAAGGAAGGCTCCCCCCAGAGGCATAACCGCAGTTGCTATAAACAAGTATGTGTATTAAGTAAAACTTCTAATGAAATAATAAAAAGTCTAATAAATAAATCAATTATTTTTTTTCTTGAATTGTTTTAATATAAAATTTTAGAATTTTTTTATCCTTTTATATTTAATTTTATTTTCTATTTATTTTTTTTAACTTTTAAAATTTTTTATTTTAATTTATATAATATTATTTTCATATTTATATAATTAATTTTGAATTTTTGTTTTTTAAATTTTTATAAATTATAAAAAATAATTTTTTAATTTTTTTTTCTTTTAAGTTTTTTTTAATTATCTTAAACATAAAGAATAATAACTTTGAAAGGCGTTAAATTGTAATATTAGAACTTTGTTTATGCTGAATAAAAGTTAGAAATTTGTAAAAGAAATGATTGAAGTTTTGCTTATACAGCTAGACTCCTTTTAAATCGGGTAACCTTTTATTTATGTGCAACGAGTTTTAAGATAACTTTCAATAAATTAAAAAATATTTTGATAAATATCGACTTAATGGGTCTACATTACTCCCATAAGGGTAAAAAGCAATAGTTTAAAGCTATTTATTAATATTACTTGGCAATTTTTCGATTAACCTTTTACTTTAAACAATATTAATTAATAATTATAGCGAATACCAATTTTCTTCGAGCAGTTTAAGAGCTAATATAACTTTTTAAAAATGAATTACAGAAATCAGAAATTTATTATTAAGTGTCTCCTTTAAAAATGCACTTATAAAATTCTTCTGCGTAATTTTAATATTTTTTAATACCTTTAAATTGCATTACTATTACAATAATAAAATATAAATTTATTTAAATTTAATTTTCTAAATTAACCTTCCCATATTTGCACTTTTCTGCTTAATTTTTTATTTTTTATTACTTTAGTTAATAAATAGATGATATCTCAAATGGTGACAAGTATGCTTTTTTTTTAATTTTTATATTGTTGGAGGGTTGTTTGAGGTAATTTAAACCATTTAATGTTATTCTACCAAATTAATTATATAATTTTTTTTTACATATAAGAAACTAATTGTTTATAGTTCTTAACACAATTGAGATTATTTTTTTTATTAAAAACTTTTCTACAATTCGAAATTTTTTCTCAAAATGATCTCTTTTTAAATAATTTTCTGTACCAAATTCTAAAAAGTACTGAATAATAGTATTTTATATTTTTTTTAAGAAAAAATCGGAATCTTCTTAAATCATATAGCCCTTTAATTATTCAAGCTTAATTTTTTTAAATTTTTTTTTTAGTTCTGAATACAGAATTTAAAATGTTTTAATAATAAGACTTCATAAAAGTACAATCGAAAAAATCTATTTTTTTTTTTAACATATTTAATTTTTGAAATCCAAATTTTTTAATAAACTGTATGCGAGCTCAATTTTCAATCTTTACTTTATCAGATTTAGTTTATATAATAAATTTTCTACAAAATTGGTCCTACTTGAGCTGCATATTAAATGCAGTGTGCCAGTTTATTTATCATTTGGTCACTTTTAAAAATTTTTTCTAAAATAAAGTTGCGTTCATTTAATTAAGTTTACCGTTATATAAATCTTTTTTTTATAAAAAGTTGTGGAAAAAAAAACTTTTTTAAAGCTTAATTACTAGCAAAAGTTTAAATTCACTTAACTTCATATTATTTTGAATACAATTTACTTATAATTATAGTAATTATAAAAAATAATAAAATTATATATAATTTTACAAACCTTTCCCGAACATTCTCGACAGTAGGAAAAATAATTTTTAAATCGATATTGTCATTGGCTCCTGCACAAATAAGTTTTCATAACTTTCTATACAATAGCAAAGCGCATTGTTTACTGGATAAAGTTGTAACATTTACGTAATTACTACAAGATGATCGACCAATTTTTTTATACAATATTTTAAAAATCGGAACAATAAAAATAGTAATAAAGTGTTCATTAAATTTTAGGAAGTTAATACAAACTAAAATATTTTATTATTGAATTAAAAAAGTTTAAAACATAAATATTAATAAAGTAGGAATATTTTTGTAAATGTTATTTATATTAAACTTATATAATATATGTCATTATTTATAAAAAAGTTATGTATTTACTACTACCATTATTTTTATAACTGTTAGTTCTATTAGATTTATTACTGTTTAACAATAAAGTTATATATTTTATTTTAGTAACTATTTTTAATAACTGTCATTTTTATAAATATAAATATAGTACAAATATTTTATTGTTATTTTAAACATATATTTATAATGTATTATTATTTTATAAAAAAGTTATAAATTTATTATTAATATTATTTTTATGACGTTTATTTTTATTTATTTATTTATATTTAAAATATATTATTACATAAAAAGGTTATATATTCAATAATTGTTATTATTGCAAGTATCGCTTTTACTAAATATATATTATATAATATATTATTATTTTATAGAAAAATTATATATATAATAATAATTATTTTTTACAACTATTAATTTTATTATATTTATATTAATAAAATATTATTTATAGAAAAAGTTATATATTTTATAATATATTTAATCATTATTAACTATTATTTTTATTAAAATTATTATTATATAATATATTCCTTTATAAAAAAAGTTCTTATTTTATATTTACTATTATTTACGACAATTATTATTATTTTTATATTATATGATATAATATTATTATATAAAGGAGTTATATATTTTATAATTATTATTTACAGCTAATATATTCTTTATATATTATTAAAAAATATTATTTTATAACAAAGTTATATAAATTATAATAATTATTATTAATGACTGTTATATTTATTATATTTAATTTATTTAATAAATACTTTATAAAAAAGTTATATATTCTAAAATTATTTTATTTTTATTACTATATATAATGATATAATATTTTTTAAAACTTCTTTATTGTTACTTCTACTTATTATTTATATTACTTTTATTATTTATTATTTATTTATTACTTTCATTAAAATAATAATCTAAAAATATTTAAAATAATAGAACCAATAACAAACCTTCTAAACTTTTCTTAAATTCCTCCAATAGCCAACGTTCTTGTACGGACCCCAAACTTGAAAACTTTTAAATATTTATTATTTATAAAATAATATATACTTTTAATAGTTTTTTGCAAGATAAAATTTTTTTCAAAGCAAAAGTAAAAGTAATTATAAAAAAAATTTATTATTTTATAATATATTTTTATAACTAAATAAAAAGTATATAAACAAATTTATAACGTTAAATTATAAACTTCTAATAATATAAATAAAATGATCTTTATTTTTTAATATTTCGATATTTAAAAAATAATGATAAACTTGTATTAGTGACAAGAAATTTTCATTGTGTATACTTTATTATTACTAATAGTGGTGGTATTGTTATTTTATAATTATTTAATATTATTATTTTTATCGGTTATTATTTATATTATTGTTTATAAACTTTTATGAATGACTATTATTTTTTAATATTTCACTATTTAAATAAAAATAAATAAACTTGAATCAGTAACGATAAATATTAATTTTGTAAATTAATTATTATTAATAGTAGTATTATTATGTTAATAATTATTATCAAATATATTATTATTAATTATTATTTATTCTTACTTGCTATTAATATTCTTAAACTTTTAGGAATATAAATAAATTTAATGTTAACTTTTTTTTTGATATATCAATATAAATAAAAAATAAATAAACTTGTGCAGTAAAGGGAAATACTTATGTATTTTTAATTATAAATTATACTTTCATTATAATTATTTTTATTTTTCTAAAAAATTGTTGATTTTTTAATGTTATTTATATATAAAAAAAAATTTATTTTACAATTTATTAACATATTTTAAATTTTATACAAAAAATTATTATTTTCAAGTGGTATTTTTATTTCTGAAAATTAGAATTAAAAATTATTATTATTAATTATTGTTCATTCTTATTTATTATTATTGATATTATTATTACTATTATTACTATATTTATTAATATTACCAACAAAATGACACGGCCACTTAAAACTTTTTAATAAGCTGGTCGGGTCTAAAAATATTTTTCTATATTTCCTTAGTATTTTTATTAATACAAAAATATTACTTATATATATTTTTATATATCATCTTTTATTGAGTAAAACTATTTTTCTTTACTTTTCATGTAAAAAAATTTACTACCTTTTTTTAAATAAGATCTAATAAATTCGTGAATAAATAGTATTAATTTTATTATTTTTATCTATAAAAGCATTAAATAAAAATTATAATAAAAGGCACTTGAAAGTAAAGAGAAGGCGAATCCATTTCCGTTTGGGGCAAACTATTCAGTAGATACCTTGCTTTCATGTGGCCCCAATGTTTGGCTTCCGAACTGGTAAACTTTCCGGGGACGCTTGCAATTAAGTGGACCTTGAAAAAAATAATCATGAATATTTATGGCAGCAAAAAAATTTCCTCAACATTTTATGTTTCATTATTAATTTTGCTTTATTTTGAAAAAACTATAAATTTTCTAGTGAAGAATTTTATATAATAAATTTTATCCATTAAAAATTGTGCTAACCCAACATTTATGTTTGCTTTGTATATAATTATATATTTGAAACTTACAAAAAAAAACTCATTTTTTTTAACTGCAAAAAAGTAAACTTAACAAATTTTGTCTCATTATTATTTATGCTTAACTTTATAAAAGATATTAATTTCTATAATACTATATAATAATAGTAAAATTTCATCCAGCATAAAGTGTGGTGACTCAACGTTATTGCAAGGTGTATATTAAAAAATGTAAACCTTTCCGCAAAAAAAAAAATACATTATTTTCCTTGACAGCCAAAGGAAATTTAACCAACATTTTATATTCCATCATTAATTATGCTTTACTTTATAAAAGCTATAATATATTCTAGTGAAGAATAATATATAATAAAAAAATGTGATACCCAACATTATTCATTGCAAATAAAAAGTACATAAAATAATATTTACAGCAAATTTTTTATTGCAACTATAATAAATATTATGAAGATAAATTTTATTTTATTTTTTACTTTTTTAATCTAAATATTAAAAAATTCATTTTTTTTTTTCATTGAAAAGTTTTACAAACTTCATAAAATTTTTATATTATTTTTAAAAGTTTTCAACAGTTTTATATTAATTTCATAGCAAGCATTCAAAATTTATAACTAATTTTATTATACACACTTTTTAAGTTATTTATTCGTATTCTTAAAATATTTTTTTAATTTTTAATAATAAACATTCAAACTTTATAAAAAAATTCTTTTTTTATTCCTTTAAAACTATAAATAAATTTATAGTTTCTTTTATTAAAAAAAGATTATAATATTATAACAGTCTATCATAAATTTCCAAACTTTACGATATTTTTTTAACTTCTAAGAAAAATTATTTAACTATATTTAAAATCTTTATGAAATATATTTTTTTATACTAAATTTTTATATGAAACTTAAAAAATTTATAAGAACAAAAAAATATAACTTTGAAAATTTTATAAATATTAATAAAAACTGGACATTCGTAGAAGAAAAGTCGTATTTTTTTAATTTTTCGCATAATTCTGACAAATCGGCTCCATAAGCTTCCAAATATCTAATAAATCGAACATTTTCTAATTAAGCGTGGCTAATAACTATAATGCCACCAAATTCTATTATCACAAAATGTGCCAGTTTATAGTGTAATAAAAAATTTGTATAAAACTGTAGCAGATAAAACAAAGAAGTAGAAAATTAGGTTTATAATAAGAGAAAAGTTCTTTGCTTGGTCCAGAGTAATTGTTGTATATATTTTACGCATTTTGATTTGTTATAAAAGAAAGAAAAATAATGAAGGTTATCAAAAGAATAAAAAGTTCATAAAAAATAATAATTTAGACAAAAATTAAATATTAAAAAAAAATTATTATAAAATTATTATTAATTATTATATATTACTATTTGTTATAATATTTTATTATTTATTATTATTAAATTGCTAATACCTGTTATCATTATTTATTTATTATTTATTACTAGATTATAATTATATAACTCATACTTATATTATTATTATTTATTATTATTATACTTTAAATATTTATTATTACACCAATTATTATCATTATATAATTTTAAATTCTATTAGATATAATGATTATCCTAATTATTATTACATTATTATTTATTATTATAATGATTACTGTTATTTAGTAATATATAATTTTTATTGCTACTATTTATTATTATTGTTTTTTATTATATTGATTATTATATTAAAATATAATTATTAAAATATAGCTAATTTATATCATTCTACTAATCATTATTAGTAATGCGATAAATGTATAAAACTACATATTATTTTATTGTTTATACTTAATATTATGATATACCCAATATTTATTTTTGTACTAAATATTATTATACTAATTATCATTATTTCATTGCGAGTATTTATTTAAATACTAAATATTCTATTTATTATTATACTGAATATTATTCTTATATAACTAATATTACTTATTAATTATTATACTGATTATTATTACATAACTAACATAATATAAAAATAAAATCACTATTATCATTTATACCAATTTTTATTATTTTATTATTACTGATATATATTATTAGCCATAATATTATATTATTACACTAAATGTTATTATTTTATAATCATTTTATACAATATTTATTATTATAATAATTATTATTTTATACTAACAACTATTATTATAAGGAAATTTTTATCAGTATACTAATTATTCTTGTTCAGATTATTATTATTACTATACTAAATTTACTATTATTTATTAATATCATTGTTCTTATAATTATTTATTACTAATCAATATCATACTTATATTTATTAATTTACGTAATATTATTATATATTACTAAAACCTATTGATTTACTTGCTATTATTAATATCTTATCACCAATAATTACTATTATACTAATTTTTATTATATTGCTAAAATTCATTAATTTACTTGTTAGTGTTATTACCTCAACAAATCTTCCTCAAAACTAGAAGATTTTTGAACTTTACTATTTTTTTTATAAGGGAAATGCGGGCTCATCCAAATGCCTTGAGTTTTATAACTAAAAGTAAAAATTATTATGAAAAAAAAAGTTAATATATAACTTTTTTGGAAAAAACATATTAAAAAATAATAATATGTTATAATAATATTTAGTACAAAAAAGTTTTTTTTATAAAAATAACATTAATTTTAAATTATTTTCATATATACTTTATTAAAAAAAAATCACTATATAAAAAAAATTTGTTTATAAACTTTTATAATATTTTTTTTTTCTAAATATAAAAAGGTATTAGTAATAAATATTTCTAAATATTTTTTAATAAAAAATTTTGTTTTATATTGTTTTTCTTTTAATGAAAAGTATTATTACTTTTATATTATTTATATTTTTTTATGAAATATCGCAACTAAATAAAAATTTTTGCAAAAAAAATATTATTTCTGATAAAAGAAATTAATAACTTCATATTATTTTTGTAGTATTCATCATTAATTTATAAATAATTACTAAATAAAAAAAATTTTTATTTGAAAGTTTTTCATTTAATATAAAAAAGAATTATTACTTTATATTATTAGAATATATTTATAATGAAATATTTTTTCGACATAAATAAAAAAAACCTTAAAAAAATTATGTAAAAAAAAAAAATTTTTTTTATTCAAAGAAATTATTAACTTTATAATAATTTTATATTATTTATTAAGAATTTATAAATAATTACTAAATGAAAAATTTTGTTTAAAAGTTTTTTTATAAAATCTTTTCATTAAATATAACTAAATAAAAAGTTATGTTAATAACCATCTTTTAATAGAAAATTTATATATTTATATTATTTTTATATTAATTATTAAGAATATATATATAATAACTAGGAAAATTTTGTTTAAAAAGTATTTCTTCTAATGAATATATTTTTTTAATGAAATATTTTCATTAATAGTAATAACAAAAAAATTTTAGTAACGAAAAAGAATTTTTACTTTTATATTATTTGTGTATTTCTTATAAAATATTTTAATAATAAATAATAAATAAATCAAAAATTTTTCACGAAAATATTTTTATAGTGAAATAAATATTATTACCTTTTTATTAATATAATTATTTAATGAATATTTTCATTATTATTTATAAATCTTTGATAATAAAAATATTTTATTTAAAGAATATTTATTAATAAAAAAAAATTTTATAAACAAACTTTTTATTTAGTTATTATTTATAATAAAAATATTTCAGATGTAAATATATATTAATATAAAAATGAATCTTTACCGTTAAAAAAATATTTTATAGTTTAGTTTTATTTATAATGAAAACATTTATTAAAAAAATATATTAATAACAGAAAAGTATTAATTCTTAATTCATATAAGAAAAATACTTTAAACAAAATTTTCTAATGAGTTTTTATTAATAATTTAAATATTTCATATATAAATATATAAATTATACAAAAATGACAATTCATATTTCATTAAAAAAAATTATTATAAACAAAATTTTATATTTAGTTATTATTTATATTGAAAATACATCATTACAAGTATATAAATTATATTAAAGTGATAATAATTCTTTATTAAAAGGGAAAATATATATATATATGAACGTTATTTACATAAAAAATTTTTAATTTTGTTAAAAAAAATTATTTCTACTGGAAAAAAAATAATTACTTTTAAATGATTTGTGTATACTTTTAATAAAAACTTTTAATAATATTAATAAAGAACAAGAGAATATAAACTTTTTGCTTGAAAAGTTGATAAATTATTTATAATAAAGAAAACTTTTTAAAAAATTGTTCATATTATTATAATTATTTCATGTTTACAACTATCAATAAATATGAGTATTACTATTTAGCAAATTTTATTAAGAAAAGTTTATAATAAACTTTTCTTTTCAAATAAAATTTAATACATTTAAGTTATTTTTATATTTTACAAATAAAAATATAAATTGTCACTATATATAATAATTTTTTATAAAAGTTTATTATAAACTTTTTTTTTTTGCAAAAAAAAATTACTTGAAAGTTATTTTATATTTCATTAAAATATTTAAAGAAAATATAATTTATTAAAAAATTATAAAAACAAAATATTACTAATAAAATATATTTATTATAAAAATTTATTAATTATTACTAAATATAATAATTTACTAAGAAAACTTTATAATAAACTTTTTTTCTAAAAAAATCGAGTTATTTTACATTTTTACATTAAAATATATATAAGAAATTTATTAAATAATTATAAAAACTAAAAATACCTAATTAAATATTTTTTTTTTTTTTAAAAAAAAATTACTTATAATATTAATTTGTCTTGAAAAAGAGTTTTAGTAAAATTGATAACTATTTCACAAAAAAATTACTAATAATATTTTATTTACAAAAGTTTATAATATAATTTATTTTTTGAAGTAAAAAATTTTATATTAGCTTAATAAAATATTTTAATGATTAAAAATTAATAATATGTAATTTATTGCTAATAAATTAGTTTTTATTATATAATATTAAATTATTAATATAATATATATGAGAATATTTTAATGGAACAAAATATTATTAAATAATAATAAAAATAAAACTAGGTATAATATTTATTAAAAAATTAAAAAAAAACTTTTATTAAAAAAAAAATTTCTAATGACTTATTATTTCGGTTAAATAATAAAAATAGAACTAAATAAAATATTTTGTAAAAAAAAAAAATAAAAATATTAATAATTATTATATTTAAAATTTAATTAATATGTATTTATAAAGAAGTTTACATTTATATAATTATTAAATTATAAAATAACTCTTTGGTTAGTAATATTTTTAAACATTTATGGATTTACAAAATATCTTAATAACTTTTTTAATATGAATAATAAAAGTTTAGAAGTTTTTAATACTTGTCCTGTTAATAATTCTTTCAGTAATAACTTTTTTCTGTGAAATTTAAGAAAGAGCTTTTACGAGAATTTCTTGCTATCCAATTGGTTATTGACAAGGACGAGTAAAATATATTATTTTTAAATAAAAAACTTTTTAAAAATAAGAAGTTTTTGTGTAAAAAAAAACAACTTTATAGTTATATTAATAAAATAACAAATGTTTGGGCAATGAATAATTATATAAAACTTTTAAAAAACTTTTATTATTTATTTAAATATAAAAGAATGATAAAATCATAATAACTTTTTAATAAAATTATGATAATAGAATAGTAGCAAAAATTTTTATTAATCACATTTAAAAAGTCACATTAAAAATAATTGGAATCTTTTATAAAATTTATATTAAAAAAAATAAAAGAAAACTTTTTTTACTTGCTATTATAAAAAGTTTATAAGAGCGAATAAAAAAACTTTCGCAGGCAACTAAAAGTTGGTAAATTTTTTTTTGAATGTTTAGCATTATGTCTGCTTTTAGTAAAGCGAGTTGATTTTAATTCTTTTAGTAAGCTCTACGAGTTCGCCATGCAAAAGCGAATTAAATAATAGTAATAATAATAATAATAATAATAATAATAATAATAATAATAATAATAATAATAATAATAATAATAATAATAATAATAATAATAATAATAATAATAATAATAATAATAATAATAATAATAGTGATAATAATAATGTTCTGGAACTTTTGAAAAATATGGCGGGATTGCCCGTATGATTATTTTCGTTAGATTTTTTATATACTTTCATTTTTTTTTGATATATATTTATTATTTTTGTATAAATTTTTATTTTTTATACATTTCTTTATATTTTTTCTTTAATTTTTATATTTATTTTTTAAAGTATATTAAATATATTTCTAGAAAAAAAATTTATTTGATTTTTTTAAAAACTTTTTGTTTTCATTTTTTCTTTTAAAATATTGAGTAAAAGTTATAAAATTTTTTAGTTTAATATATTTAGTCAATAAAATGATATTATAATAAAATAATATAAAACTTTTTTTTATAAAAATATAAATCAAAAGTTATTAAGATTTTAATTTTTTTTCATATTTATTATAGTATATTTAATATTTATGAATTTTATTTTAAAAATTGTTATATTACTTTTTTTTTTTTAATATATAATAGAAGTTTTTAAGTTTTTAGTAAAATAATACAATATAGTATTATAACTTTTTTTTATAAAAATATTAGGTAAAAATTGTAAAGTCTTTATTTCTTTTATATTTAGTAAATTTTATATTTTTAAATTTTATTTTGAAAATTGTTATTTTAATTTTACTTTAATATAAAATAGGAGTTATAAAGGAGTTATTTTTTTAACAATTGATAATTTTAATTAATATATAAATAGAAAATAAAAGTTATAAAGTTTTCTATTTTTAATTAAAAAATTTCACCGGTAAAATATTATAAAACTAAATAAAAAAATTTTTATAAGAATAAAAAAGTATAAATTAAAAAGTTTTTTATTTTTTTATTTTTTTGGAGTATATTTAATATTTTTATTTTTTAAAAAACTTTTCATAATAATTTTTTTTTTAAAAAAACGTAAGTTAAAAAGTTTTTTATTTTCTAATTTTTAATAGTATACTTATCATTTTAATTTTTTAAAGAAATGAAAGATAAATTATAAAAATTTTATTTTTTATAAAGAAATTTTTATTAATAATGTTAAAACTTGTTGTATAAAAATGTAAAATAATAGTTATTAATTTTTTTATTCTCTTTATATAAATTTTTTTAAAACTTTTTTATCTACACTTTTTATTTTATTTTTAAATAATATAAAGTATGTATAACTTTTTTTTATTTTTTTTTTAGAAATATTTTAGAATATATTTCGGATTCCAAACATTAATTCAGATTTTAGAAAAAATCTTTACTATTTCTTAACTTTTTTTTAAAGCATTGTGTAATATGAAAGGTTTTTACTGTTTAAGCAACGCTTACAAAAACCATAAAAAAGATGCTACTCATGAAATTATTTACCAGAAATATAGAAAGGTATATAGAAAAGTTAATTTTAAACTCGAAAGTAATAAACAATTTGATTATTTAAAATGAAGGTTAAAATTATATATATCTTGTAGAATTTATAAATTATGAAATTTATATTTCTATACACTTAAAGCTGATAAAAGTTTACTGAAATTTGTTTAATTAGTTAGAAAAAAAGGATTTATAAAAAATTAAAATAAGTATACACAAAATATTTACAAAATTCAAGTAAAAAAGTAAAAAGTAAAAGAAAAATATTAACTGAAAAATTCAGTTTTGAAAAAGTTATAATGATTAAAAATATTATGTTAATATTCATTTTATACGTAGAAAAAAATAATTTTTTTTAAAAAAATTGCTTCGTGAATTAAAAAAATTTAAAGTACATCCAGTCTTGTTTAATTAAATTAGCAGTATGAATGACGAGCTGAACAGTTTGAGTACGAAAAAGTATCATCATCTTAAAAATAAATATAAATTTTATATTAAAACAATAAAACAAGGAAAAAACTTTTGAATGATGAGTTCCCCACTTTAATTCCAAAACGGGTTTTATAATTTTCATCAACGGAAGAGATTCTGATGCTAATTTCTATGATAATAAAGGGTTAAAAGATAAATACTGTAAAGAATTATCTAAAGTTATTACTGCAAAATATATTTTTTTTGTAAATTTATAAAAGTCCTCAGTTAATGGAAATGCAGTTAATTTCTTGATTAGTTAAGATGTAAATTTTTTTGCAATAGCTCTGAATTAATACGTTTAAGTTTAAATTTTATTCCTAACATACTTTTTGCAGTAATAAAGTTTAAGTTGCAATTTATTATAAGTATTCGGTTTAAATAATAATAAACTTTTTATTAATTTATTTGCTCCGAATTTGTAGCTAATTAATAATAATTCAATTACTAAAATATATATTTTACTGATAATTATAAGGCTTTAAATTATAAATAAAAAGTAGATGATTTTTAAAATTTTTTTAGACGCTGTGAATTTGTATAACCAAATTATTTAAATGGAAAAATTTAAGAAAATTTGAGGTTCAAAGTATGATAGAATTAATTTTTAGTTTTTCTTTTTAAAGTAAACTTTAAGTTCTAATATATGCTTCGAATTTGTACGATTAAAATTATTATTTCAAAGAGCAGAATACTTTAATTTTTTTTATATTCTCCAAATTTGTAGGTTCAAAATTTAAAGATTTTTTTAATTAATTTTAAGTAGGCCGAAATTAAAAGCTGCAAATAATTTAAATAATTTAATCCTAAACTTTAATTTCTTCTATACACTCCGAATTGGTGTGTCCGTGAATGATAGTGCACTCAGTTTTTATTAAATCAGGCCAAACTTCTAAGAGCCACTGAAGATCGATCATGTAGTTAAACTATCAAAAATTAAAATTAGTATCATTTAGACGTTAAATAAAGTACTTAATTGCAATAAATATTTAAAAAGGAACACCTGATACACTTGCTTAAATTGACCCTTTAGAATTTCTTTAATCGTAATGCAGTTTTTATTATCCATCACTTCATCATTAACTCCTTTATAAGATGTTGTAAAAAGAAAATTAAATGTTTGCGTTATAAAACAGTTTCTTTAATTTATGCAATAATAATTTATATTTCTACTTTTAAGCATAAGCGAGGAGACTTGCCTTCAGCGCGGTTTAGATAAAAAGGCTGCTTAACCAAACTTTCAACTTCTTTTAAACGTTTGGGATTGTTTTCTATTTTTGCTTACTTTCAGTTTAGTTTCTTAATAAATTTACAATAAAATTAACCTTTATTAAAGCCACAACGTTTTAAATTTCGTGGCATATTCTTATTGATTTTAAAAGCTAATAACCCACTAAATACTTTAACCGTTTTAAATTTTTCAAAAATAGAATTATACTTTTTAATCAGTTTAACTATTTTTTAAAAGAGCTTCCATACTTTAAAAAAAGTTTATATATTTAACTGTCAGGAAGCCGAAGGCCACACCTGTGATAAAAAAATTAAGGGTTCTTTAGGGGACCAAATAATGTAGTGTCCAGAAATTTCAAGTACATAATCCTATTGTTTTACAAACGTTACTTATATTTCTTACGCGTGTTAAGCACTTTTACTAAATTTTACTCTTAAGAAACCTTAACTCTATTAATTTAAAAAAGTCATAGTAAATTATACTAGGAAGCCTGCCGTCTTTAAGGTTACTCGAAGCTGTACTTTTATAATAGAGACGGAACGCTTCTCTTTATTATAGTTAACAAAATCTTATAGTAAAATAATAACTATAATCTATTGAGAAAAGAAGCTGTTTAACTAGAATAATTGCCCTTCTACAATATCAAGAGGTGAAATAACTTCAAAGTTTCTTAAGGTAAAAAAAAAGTTTACTAGATAAACTAAAATTTATTAGGACTAGATAGTGGTAGTAAAGGTCAAGCCATTTGGTTGCTTGATACTTACTGCAACGGTCAGCAAGTTTTCGGTATAACGTATAAAATAGTTGGACTAAATACGCTTAAGAGCTGACAAATTCAATGAATATATTTTTCCAGCTTAATTCTGCTTCATATACTTAATGAAGAAGCCTTTTAGCGGATTGGCCATTTCTGCTATTCACATAATTTTTTTCCAACTTCCCCTTAGAAAGCTTTCTGTATAAATAAATTTATAACAAACCCCAAAACACCTTTCACAACTCAAATATTCTGAGACTATCAATGCACCTTTTAAGGTTTGTTGTTATCTCGGAAACACTACAGGCAAAACTCTATACCCATATATACTTGTGCTACTAGATTTAACAATCTTGATACAAAATTATTTGTTTTTTTTTTTAAAGCTTGTCCTTCTACTGATGCTATGTTTGTAAGCACCGCGTTGGGCTAATATTGCTAGAATTTTTGTTTTGTACCATACAAACTTCTGGAAAGTTTTTTAAATTATTATAGGTTTCTTAATAATATTCAAGTTTTGACTCTTAAATGACTTTTTCTTGATTTGATCAACTAATTTGCCTTGCAAATGACGCAGTATAAGTGTGGAATTCTCCAAGCTTGCTTTCCGCTGTTAAATTAGTTTTTTCGCTTACACATTTTTCTATATTAGTGCTTCTACTTGTGAATATTATATTTCACTTATTTTGCTGTGACCGGAATAGATAGCGGAAAAAATTAAAGACTAAGGATCGTGAATACGACTCACTTCGCTTACAACAATTCACTTTTCATGCAACTGCAGCAAGTTTTTTTTTATTTAGGTATTATGTGTTTCGCCTCTTCTGTAAAAGTTCAAGTCCTGTGTGCTCGTGCCATCAGAACTAGCTTCAATTTACTTTCCTTTTTACTGATTTATAGCACAAACTATATATAAGTTAAATGTGTTGTCAAAATAATACTTAATCTTAATGTGGAGTTATCAGTTCTCGTACATCTGATGTTAAGAGTAAACTAAACATAGCGTTCCAATAAGTAAATTCCATAACTTTTAGAAAGGTAATACTTAGTAAAACGTTTATAATCTGTCAGTCGAATTTATTTTTTAATTCCAAACATGTAAGCGAGATAGTCCTTCTTCCCTTGAGCGTAATGCAAAAAGCTTATTCAAGTATATAAAAGTAAAACTAAAAGCATTATTTGCAATCTCAAATTAAAAGCACAACTATTTAATAAAATCTCAAAAAGTATAAAATTAAATTTGCTTTCTTCTAAGACTACAGGTACTTGTTTCTTTTTCTCTTCAAACGGCTTCTTCAAATTTTAGCCTTGTTAATGAAAACTCTTCCACAAAATTAACCATTTTTTTCCCCTTCATGCCAATGTCGGAAAATTAAAAAAATATACACAATGTTGCGTCTAAGCAAAGCAAAAAGATAGTAAGTTTATTTAAGGAAACAGTAGTGAAAGTGACATGAATCTGTAGCATCAACGACAAAACAACCTAAAAACTTATATAGTAGTAGAGCTGTTCCTATTTATTAACCCTTTACCCAGCAAAATTCTGGGCTTCAAATATATTTTTATTGCTGAATCACTCCCCGTGTTGAAACTATAATTTAAAATCCAATATTTGCTTTCAAAATTTTGTTTCTATATATCTTATTCATTACTTTAAAATAAAACGGTGAAACAAGCGTTTACTCATTTAAGCGAAATAAACAAAAATCAGAATGAAATTTTTGTCCAATAAAAAGTTTGCACAACACATTCTCAACTTTACGTGCACTGTAACTAAATTTTTCACTTTTTTAATGTTCTGTTGGTTGCTGACAGTCCGTTAGAAAGTGGTACTCAAACTTACCAGAGATTGTTTCAGAGACCGAGCCTCTCTTTTAGGGTCAATATCCATTGATCTACTCTTTCAAATTGTAACAGGTTAAACGTGTAAAATCATCACACCGGGATTGAGAGCTGTCGTCCGTAGCTCAGCGTTTAAGAGCATTGACGCGCATACTCAAGGTCTTGGTCTCGATTCCCACCGACGCGACTCTCTTTTGCGGTCTTTGATGGTCGCGTATTTAACCTCGCCCTCATAAATTCTAATAAATTGAACCTAGGCGACAAGTGGTAAACGAAGTACACAGTAATCTTATAAGTGGTTAACGCATCGGGAGACCGGCAAACCCCATCCTTCGCCACAGTTTATGCATTGATTTGTGGTGTGGCTTACCGCCGTCTTGGCAGGGCTGTATAACAACTATAAAATGTTTAGATCCTAAAAAAAAAGTACGGAAATAAGGTACTTACGCTATATTCCTACAGTTAAAGTCTTTAAAATTATTATAATGTACTATTTATATTAGAAAACAACTTGAAACGAATTTTAGCATATAGATTGTACTAAATTTCTTTGCTATTTACACTGAACGTATAGAGTTTTTGTTCTACTTGTTCTTTTGTTTATATCCTTTGCTTTTTTTTTACTATTCTCTTGCGGTTTTATATTCTCTATTTTGTCACTTTTTGATTATTAACTCTGTTCCTCTAGCTTTGCGGGCAAAGAGACCTTATTTATAAGTATTCGCTCGCCTTTATTTGTTTCTTTATTTCTTTGTCTCGTTTCTGTACGTGTTCATACATAGTTAACAAACGCCGAGACTTAACTTCAATTTAACTATATTTTTTGATTTTTTATATAGAAAAGGTTTTAAAGCGTCTATAAAAACGATTGACCGCATAAATATATTGAAAGATTTGACTTTTTATTTAAAGACCGTATGTATATATAAAGTAAATTTTTTATTTGAAAATTCTTTTCGAAGGATATTTTTATGGCTTATTAAAACTCCCAAGTTATTAAGAAATGTAATTATTCTAATGTACTTTTTAGTCTAACTTTTTATCAAGTTTCCAGCCAAGCCATCAAGCATACAATAAGTAAATGATCAGTAAGATAAGACAATATTAGTACTTCCAGTCCGAACAATGGAAGTATGATGGTGTAGATTTTTACATTTGATAAATACAACAGAAGGGATCCTATATATAAAGAAATAAATTATACAATATATACGTAATAATGAAGACAATTAAAAATAGTTGAGATATCTTTTTTTTTGCTGAAGAATGAAGTAGGAAATAGTATTTATTAAAAACAGGATAAACCTGAGATCCACACGAGAGAATTGATAACAGCTGTGCGAAAATTACATAAAAAGTTACTGAATACCTAGTAAGTTTTTTAATAAATGTTTTAAGAAACTAATTTAAAAATTATAAACCTCCTGTACATGACGAATTTTAACGATATAAAACCAGTAAACCGCTGTTCTAACTATGGTCATGACGTAAAAGCTCAGGTAAAAGGTTTGCTCTAATCCTTTTCTTAAAATATATTTTAGCTTGCAAGATAAAAGCGCGTGTAAAAATGAATATTTTAAATTTACTATACAAAATAATTTTAATTTGTATTGATAATTTATAAAAATGAGAATAATTATTTATTGATAAGTTATTAAATCTACCGGTATACGACTTCCTTTGGATCGTTTTGATGAAGCACTGAAAACACTATAAAAGGAATAATTACAATTACTTGCAAAGTAATTTCGTAACCCAAAGGGAAAAGGAAAGTTTTAGTGCTGTCCCTCTCTGTATTGCATAATAAATTCTTATTAAGTTTTGTAATATAGTATTGTTAGTCTTTCTTTTAACACAAGCCTGAAAATTGTCGGGAAGGGTACTTTACAAAGATTGTGTATATCACTCTAATTCGGCCTGTGAGAAGAGCCATGAATATTGTGTGTACGCATCTCATGATAACAATGGACAGAGTAGCTATAAGTGTAAGCATAAAGCAAATTAGTCTTGAGAAAAAAAGTTGAAAAATAAAATATAATTTTTAAACAATATCAGCGGTCGCACCATCATAATTTAATTTAATTTTATTTGTCTATAAAGTTCACTTGTTTTATTTAATTTTAAATTAAATTTTATAAATAGATGTTAAAGGTTAATGTTTATACCATTAAAATCGCAATCAGCAGTATATAACCTTTAAAATAGTATTCACGTTTAAATACGATTTTTATAATGCTCTGACAAAACATAACTGAGAATATTACGTCTTTATTATATAGTTTAAAAGCAACGAACTAGAATAAATTTAAATAATCAATGTCGATTACAAAATCTATAAATAAAAATCATTAAAGAAAAGTTTCTAATATTATGCTGCTTAATCAGTATTTATTTATAAATTAATGCATCTACCAGGAAATATATATACTACCTATCAAACTTATTATTTTCAGGACCCTAAAAACACGAACTCTGCTAATCTATAATTTATAAACACGATAAAATTAATTACTTCGAGAAAAAAAGCTTAATCTAACGTACAATATTACTAAGGTGGGAGTGACGAATAAATTATTTGAAAGATTACTTTTTTTTTTTTAATTTATTTTTGACTAAAAGTTTTGCTTAGACTCAACTAATAATTAAAATTGATAAAAAATTAAACGCTAATTTCTCATGTAAAAAGTATGAGTTTTTTAATTAAATTTGTAGGGCTTTGACCTTTAAATTATTATTAATACTATTATTATTATAAGGCTGCAAAAAAAGGTATTTATACAATAGTATTGACTTAAAATTTTAAACCCTTTTATAATATAATAAAATTATATAAGTGCTTAGTCGAAGCTGTTGATTTTAATAGGCCTTATTGATAAGTAAATTTATTTGGAACAAATTTTCGTTAATTACTTTTTATCTCCAAATTGAAATTTTACTATTAAACGGCAAAGTACTGAAGTTACCTAAGTTACCCGCTTAAATATTTTATGAATTTAGCAAATTTTATACACAAACATTAATCCAAAATTTTTTAAAACCAAAATCTCTTATAGTTTGAACTTTTCCCTTAAAAATATTTAATATTAGTTTATGTTTATATTCTAAATTTCAGTTATAGATTTTTAAAAATTTATATATTTTTTAAACGTGCAACCTCTTAATAAGATCCTTGCTGGAAAATCCCATAACTCCGTACTAACTTCGTTAATTTCCTTGAAAGACCAGATAGTAACAATAAAGGCTACGCAGCCTATTAACAAACATCCAATTGATAGCGATGTCCTTTTATTAACGTAAAAAGTATACTTAAAGTTTCTTGAGAAAAGCAGTAATTATGAAGTTTAAAGAATTATATTCAAAAACAAACATTGAAATAATAAAGTTGAATCCTTGTGCTTTAATGGCTGGATAATCTTTATAAACTAACACCGTTCTGCCAACAAGTATTATAAGAAATATTATAACTGCAACGGAGGTAGATACTGTAAAATAAAAAAAGTCAGAAGTATTATAAATTAAAATTTCAATACTTATACCCAAAATCGTTGTAATCAAGCGGACGGTGCTAAACTTTTCCCAAGTTAAACTTAATGTTTTTAATTCTTTTAAAAAAACCAGAACGGGAACCATAAATCCTTTTTAATAATGTAATTTGGAAAAATTACATATTATTTTTAATGCTTTTTTAAACGTTAAAGTTTAAAAAAATGAATTATAAAACTAACCACAAGGAAAAATTAAAGTTAGTATTAGTAAGGAAACTGTCCAAATCCATCTTTTTCTTAAGTAGTTAAGGTTACTATCTTCAAATTTTGAAATCTTTATATTTTTATCTTTAAAATTATTGCTTAGCAAAGAGAGTTTACCAGTTTGTGCGAGGTTTAAAAGGTGGCTGTTTAAAATGTATTCTTTGGCTGGAGAAAAGCTATTAGTAGTAATTTCATTGATTTGTAAATTTTTAAGGCTTCCATGTTCAATCTGTTAATTAATACGTTGATCCATCTTTGACCTAAAAATTAACGTATTTATATAACTTTATTAATTACTTTTTCCTGATTATTTTTCTTGTCATCATTATGACTGCTCCTAGCAATAACGTTGCTATTTTGATCTTCATTGCTCATCTTTACTCCGCTAATATCCTTGAGCTCATTATCTGTAATGGACTTATTAGATTCAGTAAATAGTGGATCCTTACTACTTGTTTTCCTCTATTTTTTTTTAACAAACTAATTTAGCATAACTATAGCTGTAAAAATGCGCAAACCTTTCGGTTACATGACATATTTTTATATATATACAAATTTCCTCATATATTTTTTTTGGTTGAAAGTTATTGTTCCTTTTATAGAGAAAATTCTCTTTGTTGGAAGGAGGTTACACGTAGCGAAATAGTGCTTTTATGGAAACCCCTCCTTCGCTTTTCACAACGGCTGAAGTATATTACTAAATATTTAATCAAAAAAATATTTTCCTTATTAAGGTAATAAATAGCTCGGAGGTTAGTTAATTACTGACAAGTATCAACGTGATAGTGAGAAAAGATTATTTTTAAAGCAAAAAACGGTTTTTACCACAACTTCTTAATAATGAAAAGCTTTTTAGGTTATGAAATAACGCCTTTTAAAACAAAAAAATTTTCTCTACGCAAAAACTGCTACTTTACGTACACTCCCATATAATTTAATTATAAAAATTAAAAAACAATTCCTTTGAAGGAGTAAGTATTTTGTAAAACATGATAGTTTTTATAAAACACATTCAGTAGAAAAAGCATTGTTGATTACCGTTTAACAATGCCAATCTTTAAGCAGTTTGTAAAGATGGAAGAAACACGTGGCTAGGAGCTTTAGTAAATATTTAACCGCTTAACAAATATACGTACGTACAGCGAAATACTAAACATTCTTAAACTTTATTAAGTTTAAGGCTTCCGAAGTTCTAACTTGCTCTGCGGTATTGTAAAATGTAATGCGCCGAGAAATATAGAGCGCAGCAGAACTTTTTCACCGAGTTTTGTGCATCTTTAAATGCCCGGATTACAAAAATTTGTTTTTTTTAAAACCTCCAAAGATCAGGTTGTCTACAATTATTACCGTAAAGGTTAGTTTATCAAGCATTCTTCGTTAACTTTACGTGAACTTTTATTTCCTTTAATAAACTTCTTCACTTTTTATAAATGACTAAAATGGGTACTTTTTGTCTCTCCTTTTTTTTATCAATAAGTTTTAAGAATGAAGAATAAACTTTATAAATATCTACAATTAAAAGCAAAATAACTCTTTATTGTAGTTTTAATTTAAACTTCAAAAGATAAATTTGATTTAATTTTATTATATTAATATTTTTAATTTAAATAGTATAAAATAATTAATTTCTGTAAAAATAAGTTCATTTTATTTCATTTAATATTATATTTTTGGCTAGAAAAATATAAATACACTTTTTTTATAAAATTTTTTGTTATAAAAAAATAATTTAATAAAATTAAAACCGAAAATTTTCTTCTAATTTAGAAATATAATATTACTAAAATAATTTAGTGGAATTAAACTTAAGGATAAGCAAAGTTTGTCCCTAATTAACTTCAAGAGCAAAAAAAAAATATAAAATAAAAAAAAATTCTCTAAAATAAATTAAGAATTATTATTTATTAAATGTTATTTCCTTTTCCCTTTTCTTCAATTTCTTTCTTTCAATTCCTTTAAACATTTTTTGCTTAAGAACATTTTGAAGATAAAAGTTATTTTCTTTAGTGGATTGCGAAATCGCCAGAAGCAATTTCTTTTCTTTAACAGCTTTTTTATAAGTATCTATTCGTAAATAAAATAAATTAATAAAGCTTCAAATAAGTTAAAGATTAAATAGTTTAATTTACGTAAAGTATTATTTTAAAAACAGTCCTTAAAATTTAGACGTATAATTGTTTTTAAAGATTGAAAAAAACCTCTATCGCTTAGATGATGCCATTTAAATTTAGGAAGATATTTTATACTCCATAAATCATTATGATATCTATTTTTCTTAGAAACACCTGATTCCAGCAAAATTAAAATGTATAATAAAAGAAATAAAAATTAATATTATCAACTAATTGGTTTGTTATTCAAGTATTCCGCAACATTACGGGCGACTTTTTTATTCTCAAATTCCACCCATCCTTCGATATATTTTTTCTTTTTATTGCCCCCTGTTTTTTTCCTATACTCCCAAACTTTATCATCTAATATTAGTAGTAAATTTATCTCTTTAAAATAAAATAAAAATTTAAAATATTAAAGTATTGCCTTCTTTTTTTAAAAATATACGCCCCACTTCCCCCCATTGACTTAATAAATGACGTACTTTAGCTGGTTTCATAAACGGGGGAATTCTTGGTAAATAGAGCACTCCTAAAACGAAATAATATTTCAAAAACTTGTAAACCTAACTCTACCATATTAAAAAAATTAAATGTAAATTTTATATAGCACCAGAATTTTTAGTTCTTTCATTAAACTTTTCAAGTTCTTCTGGGTTTAAAGATTT